ACAGAATGATCAAGGACCGTAGCATCGATGCGCTGGTCAACGAATGCTTGATCGGCCCCGTGCTGTCCATGGGCGCTACGTTTATCGCATATGCGTGCGCACTACTAGCCTACCTCTACCTCATCTTCACGTCGCCGGCATACAACGCTGACGGCGGGTACACGCCAGTCGTGGTTGCTTTTGCGTTTGTGATTGGGCTGCAAATCTGTAAGTTGGCTGTAGTCGCGGTGCTAGCGGGCGGTTGGGCGCTGACTTGTCTCAGGCAAAATCTTCACGACGCCGTTGAGCAGTGGCATCGACACGGTCTTCGTGGCCATGGCATGGGACCCGGAGGTCCTTATGCGCGAGCATCCCGATCTCTACCACAGCATGGTGGCTGTGTACCCACAGGTCCAGCAGGCCATCCACGCCTAGGGCGGAAGCATGGCCCAATGCAGGCGCTTCCGTCGGCGTCGGCTCAGGGCGTATATGAAATAATAGCCGTATGTAATGACGCGATACCCGTCCGGAGCGATCACGATCTTTGCGCTGCACTCTCTCTTTTTTTCACGATGGTCGTTGGCTATGGCGGGGGGCCCCCCTGGTGGTTGGACGTGGCTTGGCGCAGGCTAAGGGCGGGAAAGCGCACCGATGGCTCCACTTGGCCCTGGCTTCAGCTATGACGTACGCGGGCTGTTTGGTACGCGATGCACATGCCAGAAACTACCATGGCCGGCCGAGCACACGCTGTTGAGGACTAAGTATGGGACCTGGTGCTGCTGGTGCTACTGCTACCGCCTCCACGGCCGAGAGGGCGAGGGCGCCGGGGGACTGGTGAGGCTCTGGCGGGTGATGCTGTCTATGACGACTGAGGTATTAATCTATTCTGTTCTTCACCTGTGCATGTCCAGTAGTCGTAGTCCATGTAGGCCTGCTCCCTGCTACCCGCCACGCTTCCGCGCGTCTGCCCGGACGACGGCTGCTCGTCCCAGCCCTTGTGCGGGTCGTTCCTGCCCCTCGTAGGCCGTTAGCGGCCCAATTGGGTGTCCACAGCAACGTCACCGCCTTGCGGGGTCTCTGGCGCCCACGGCCAGCTTACCCAGCTTACCCACGGCGCCCGCCCAACATAAACACGCGCCCCTTTCACCTTGTCGCTGGGCCTCTCCCTCTCCCTCTCCCTCTCCAGAGACTGCTCTACTGCACCTTGTGACTCTTGCACACCGCTCAGCCGCCGAACCTTCTGGCCAGGTAAGTCCTGCTTTCACTGCATGCGCCTGCATTGCCTTCACAAGTTGCTTCTGCCTTGGCTGCTGTTACGCATATTACCCCACCAAACGCGCCTTCCCGCCTTGCCAGTACAAAACAAACCCCTCGCCTCCCCTCCAGTTCCTCTCGCCCCTCTTCCCTTCTCTCCACTCTCCCTCTCCCTCTCCCTCTCACTCTCCAGTCCACACTGACCCAATTGACACTCATCCAGCAACACACACTCGAGCCTCAGCTGCCCCTCCAACCACACAGCCCACACGCCCATCATGTCTTACGAGAAGAAGGCAGTGCACTTTGGCGGTGGTAACATCGGCCGTGGCTTTGTCGCCGAGTTCCTCCACAACTCGGGCTTCGAGGTCATCTTCGTGGATGTCATGGACTCCATCATCGAGTCGCTCCAGAAGACGCCTTCATACACAGTCACGGAGATTGGTGACGATGGCGAGCGCAAGTTCACCATCGACCACTACCGCGCCATCAACTCCAAGCACGAGATGGACAAGGTCATTGACGAGATTGCCTCTGCTGATGTCGTCACCTGCGCCGTCGGCCCCAACATCCTCAAGTTTGTTGCTGAGCCTGTGGCAAAGGCCATTGAGAAGCGCACTGTGGACTACCCCATTGCCGTCATTGCCTGCGAGAACGCCATCAACGCGACAACCACATGGAGAGGCTTCATCGAGGGCAAGCTGAGCGAGGAGACGAAGAAGAACATTGACAGCAAGGCGCGCTTTGCCAACTCGGCCATTGACCGCATTGTCCCACAGCAGCCCCCCAACGCAGGCCTCGACGTGGTCATTGAGAAGTTCCACGAGTGGTGTGTTGAGCAGAAGCCATTCGAGAACGGCGGCAAGAAGCCGGATGTTAAGGGCATCCACTACGTCGATGACCTCGAGCCATACATTGAGCGCAAGCTCTTCACTGTCAACACTTCACATGCCACTGCGGCCTACTACGGACACCAGAAAAAGATCACATACATTCACGAGGTTCTCCACAACAAGGAGCTCCACGACACTGTGCGCGACGTTGTCAGGGAGACTGCCCACTTGATCACCAACAAGCACGGCGTCAGCACCCAGGAGCAAAACGACTACGTTGAGCAAATCATTGAGCGCATCTCCAACCCTGTTCTCAAGGACAATGTCGAGCGTGTTGGGCGTGCTCCTCTCCGAAAGCTCTCGCGCAAGGAGCGCTTCATTGGCCCCGCCGCTCAGCTGGCTGAGAAGGGCGACAAGGTGGATGCTCTCCTCGGCGCCGTTGAGCAGGCTTACCGCTTCCAAAACGTCGAGGGCGACGAGGAGTCTGCTGAGCTTGCCAAGATTATGAAGGAGCACTCTCCCGAGGAGGTTGTCACCAAGGTCAACGGCATCAACAAGGGCGAGCCTCTCTTTGACCGTCTTGTGGCGATTGTCAAGAAGGTGCAGGGTAGTAGCTGAATAACCGCCGGTAAACTCTGAGGAGACATTGGTGGTACTGGCTGAGGGATTCTGGAGTATGGGGATTAACATGGATGGGATTAACATGGGAAAAAATGGTGGGAGGATCAAGTGCGCCTTGAGCGACGGGTTCATCTAGTGGGGTTTGTACGAACCCACGACATTGACGAGATCAGTGTGATACGTAATGAGAATATGACATGAATAATGAAATATACCCTCTACAGTAGGGATTGACGACTTGACGTTGTCATGGAGTGTGGAGTGGAGTCGACTACAAGGTTTTGCCATTGAGGTGTTTGATTTTGAGAGCGGCGAGATTGACATGATGAAACATGCGGACCTGTGATGATGTTGGTATACATGTCTTTGTTTCTTTTCTTTCCAAGTCTGTTGTAGATTGAAGTATATGATGGAGTTGAACGATGGAGGTATATGATGAGTTGAACGATGGAGGTATATGATGGAGAGAGATACTTACATTCAAAGCCATTACACCCTCATGGACGCCCCTCTGAACACTCTCGGCCATCAAGCTGCTTGCACAGACGGCACAAAAGTAATGCCTTATTCTATGCTTGCCAAAGGAATAGCCTCTTACGACTATATCATTGCTACTTGCTGTTGTTGATGTCGCCGTGTCTTGCTCCAGATGTCCAATGGTATGAGTAGTAGTAGTAGTGCTGATAGTACCAGTAGGAGTAGGAGTCGGAGTCGGAGTATGAATAGAAGGAGTAAAAGTAGAAGTAGAGGTAGAGGTAAGAATAGAAGAAGTAGTAGTAGTCCCCCGCTCAAACACTACACTCGATCTATGCACATGGACATTGAGAGAGCCGTTGCGCGCGCAGAGAGAGCAGTCGCAGGATATAACAGGTGTTAGGTTTTCTGCGTCATCTGTATTTCCGGCATCATCATCTTCACCACCATGATCAGTTTCTTTTTGTTCTTCTCTTTCTCTTTCATTTTCTCTTTTTCCCTCTGGGTTTGTTATTGTCGGAGGAGTCGGAGGAGTCGTCGCAGAGCTAGCCTCGGCTTCAAAGTAAAGTGGCGCCGCTAGCGTTACCGTGTAGACAATGCGGTTGCAGTGGCATGATGCCGTGTACTAGATTTCCTCATTGTTCATTTATTTGCCTTATTCACTCATACACTTCATTGCATAGCGAGTCGGTGTGTTGGGAGAAAAAAAAGGAGAAGCGAACAAACTTACTTTTTTACGGTTGGTGCGTGCGGCGGCGTGCTTGGGCTTGTTGTTGTGGTGGTGATTGTTGAGAGTCAGGGCCAGCGAAAAGGGGTGTAGCGGGAGAAAGTAGATGGGATACGTGGTTGCGGTTTTGGCGGCGTGAGACGTCGGTAGGGAGACGTCTCTTTGGGGCAGGGGTTTCTGCTTTGGTGGGGTTGGTTGTCGCGGTATGTGTATGTAGTCGTTGTCTATCTGGAGAGGTTGGCGATTGATTTCTTTCTTTCTTCTTCTTCGACAGGTGGGAAACGGAGGGTTAGGGGAGAGGAAGTTTTTTTTGAGGGGTTGCACGGATATTGGGGAGGTGTGAGGGGTAAGGAGCTGGAATGGCGGACACGATTAAGTATCAGTCGAGAGAGCTGAATGTCTTGATTTGGAAGCTGTTTTTCTCATTTTGGTTCGAGCATAGAGTGGTTTTCTTTCAGCCGAGGCTCTGCTGTCATGGTATGTTCAATTCTTGTGGCCATGCTTTTAGTGCCTTTCTTTGGCTTGGTTGTTTTCAGCTTCTGCAATTTGGAGGAAATAAACAGCCGAGTATATTCATTGCCAACATGATTCGCAGGTCATCTAGAGAAAACCGCTGGATTGTCGTGGGGTGCCAAGGCCAAGCTCAGCTGAGGTTGAGCGAGATTATTCTCTGGTAATATAGCTAATGAGAGCGAAATATGATTGGCGGGTCCCCACCCAGGGTGTCGGTCGATCTGATAGACAACTCGTATCGATCAGTGGCATTAGATAATCACAAAGGCAGCCCGACAACCTGGGGACGGGGGTTGCGGCTATCGTGATGCACCGTGATCGTACATATGGGCTCAAGGATAAGGGCTATTGGCTAGCGGTTGATAGCGCCACGATTGCGTAAGTGCAGCCTGAGTCGCCAGTTTCCGGCAGCCGTGGATGCATTCTTGCCGCATTCTGAATCTGGCGATACGTTGCATGTCACGATGCACTGGTGGTGGGTGTTGCAAGCACGAAGTCGGAGGCACCTCGGCAGCAAAATTTGATCGGTGCCAAAGATCATGTGGAGGGATAGTGAGAAGCAAAGGGCCGGGAGTTGACGGTATGGGCGACGAGTAATGGCAGGCATGCTCTCCCCGGAGGCGTCGTCGGATCCGTCGACATTAGTCCGGCTCGCCGATGTGGAGGAGAAGTGCCAGCAAAAGTGTTGCGACATGTGAGGTCTACGTAGACCGTAAGACGGCTCGGGGCCTAAGATAGCATGCGACACAAGGACCGGGGCGAAGGGGGCATTCCCCACGTATGGGAATCTGGGAGGGAGATGGGAGATGGGAGTGTGTGCTAGTGCTAGTGCTAGTGCTTACTTTGTGGTGGGACGCTATTGGCCCCACGCGCCAAGCGGAAACAGCATTGGGTGGCTACGAGAGGCGGCTGTGCGCGGGCGGAAGGCTTAGCCAGGCCCGGCAGCGCACCCCGGGGCGTCAGCAAGGCTCCCGCGATAGGGATATGCCGGATAGATCAACAGAACCATAAGCATGGCCGTTGTCGTGCGTGCGTGGTCGGAGGGCAGCCGCAGCCAACGGGCTGGGCATGCACGGCGAGGCGAAACAAGAGGGCAGCCGAGAGACACACGGCGCGAGAATGGCGGGTGAAATTAGGTTGCCGTGGGAGCATTGCCAAGCGCCGTATTGCCAGTGTGGGCCCATGGAGCAGAATCAAGCAAATTCCTATTCTTGTTGCATGGCTTCCGCTAATCGGGGGCGCTCAGGGGCGGGCATTGTCGCAGAGGCACAGCAGGCCAAGGCCAGGCGGGCAGCAGGCAGCCTGCACTGCAACATGTATGGCCATAGGCAGGCAGAGGTGCAGCGTGCAGTGTGCAGTGTGCAGTGTGCAAGGCGTATGATTACGGCGGGCAGCCGTGGCCGAACAGGTATGCCGAACATGGGCGAGCGAGCATGTAGTACTTAGTAGTGTGTACTGTACTGCATGGGTAGTAGCGGTAGTGGTAGTGTACGTAGCATCGGCCCAAGAGGGCGAGAAAGCAGGCGATCGCATCTTGCCTGGTGCTTGGTCGGCCCCTTATTGAGCTAGACGCCTTGGGGGGGGGGGGGCGACGCGCCTGTTGACGTCAGCTTGGTATGCGCTCTGATCATTGCAGGAAGGCTTGGCGACGACCACGCACTCGCACTCATTCTGCTTGCCACCCCTCGTCGCCGCCGTGCCCTCCCATACTTAGCAGCACACGACAGGACATCTCGCCCCATCTCACCCGCGCCAGACAGCACAGCCAGCATCAGCAGCAGCAGCAGCAGCAGCAGCCCGCCAAGCCTTCTGCGCTCAACAATCCCACCATCACAGCGGGCGCAGGTCCGCCCACCAACAAGACCAAGGTGAGTTCGTGGGCGCGCCCATGCACGCACGCATGGCAAAAAGGGTGGGGACTCTGATACGCCATACGTCGCCCGGGAAATGCTGTGCAGGGAGTCAGGTCAGGCCTTCCTCTGCCGGCACGTCGGCTGGCACGCGACGCGCAGAAAGGGCAGGGCGCAGACCGCGTACGCCTACCCTACCCTACACTAAGCCCATGGTGCCAATGCCAGTGCCAATGCTACTCTCGACATCTCTCCACTCCATCGGATCCCTTCTTCTTCTTCTTCTCTGCTTGTTTCTCCGTCTCTCCTTTCCCGGTGTTTGGTTTGGCTCAACATACATACTCGCGAGCCCACCCTCGCACACACCACGTCCGCTCCAGGGGTACCGCGCCCCCGATTGCCCTCTGCTTGTCTTAGCCATTTGCTTGTTTTTGCTGTCAGCCTTGCGCCACGCCTTGGGTGAAATAGTCCCCTCCCGCCCTATTCTCTGCACAACCACCACCACGACACTCGTGCCTCGGGCTCACGCGACACACCATGCCAAACACCACACTGCCAGATAATGGCCAATGGAACAGCAAACCCGCCTGGAAACTGCCAGGATGGTGCGAACCAGTCGTACGTCTCCTAGCAACCACGGCAAAGCGCCTGGATGGAAAGGAAAAAAAAACAGAGTCATGCTAACATGGTGTGACTAGATGGTGGCCAGCATATTGTTCTTCGCCATGTTCATCACCCGGAAACGGAACTACAAGATATTCGCCCCATTGTCGTCGCGATCAGGCTATCTGGACAGCATACCCAACGAGTCCATGGACAACCTCCTCCCATCCTCGGACAGTGATAGCGACCTGGACGAAGCCTACTATGCCATCAAGAATCCAAACGCGCCCAAGATCCGCTCGCTCGGCTGCTGCAAGGTGACAACGCCCAGCACTGCGCGCTTCCGAAAAAATATCCACAGTCGCATCCTGCAGCGCTTCCCCTTCCTCATCGAAATGTTCTACTGGATCATCAACTATGCCTTTTACCGCATGACGGCCATTGCCTCGTCCAAGCTCTTTGCCGGGCGCGGAATCTGGGACGTTGCCCAAGAACACGGCATCGCTGTCCTCGAGGCTGAACAGTTTGGCCCGCTACGCTTCCTGTTCCCGCTGCGCGAAAGAGATGTGCAACAGTGGTTTATGCATGGTCACCAGGATGCGCTGACCGTGTTAAACAAATGCTATGCCCTGATTCACATTCCTGGAACCGTGGGGTAAGCACCCACTTGATACGCGCTATACCAGCCGTACTGACGTTTGACAGTTTCATCTGCTGGTACTATTACGTTGCCCCTTCGTTTGACACCTTCGCCATCGCTCGCCGAACGCTTACCCTCACAAACTTTTGCGCTTTCTTGACCTTTGTTGTATACCCATGCATGCCTCCGAGATTACTCCCCACCGAATACGGCTTCCTCGACACTGTGCGCCACGACGATGCGCAGAGTGTCTGGATGAGCGGCAAGTTTGTCAACCAGCTCGCTGCCATGCCCTCGATGCATTTTGGCTACTCCTTCTGCATTGGCATGACGCTCATCTACCACTCCGGCCTCTTCCGCCGCACCCTCGAACCCGGCGAAGTTCGCAAAAACGCCTTCTGGAAGATTTTCTACCTTGTTTTCGGAATCGGATACCCAACGTTTATCCTGACTGTCATTGTCGCCACCGCCAACCACTACTTGATGGATGCCCTCGTGGCCACGTGCTTCGTCTTCCTCTCGTTCCTCTGCAACAAGGTCTTTTACGTTTTTATCCCACTCGAGGACCTTTTGCTATATGCTATCCGGGCCGATAAGCCTGTACCCACGACGGGGGACCGCTTTCGGGAAAAGGGCGGTCGTCTCTAGTGGAAGTTGACGGCATTTGAACCTTTTTGCTTCATTTGGGCACATGGCGCCTATCATCCTATACTTGACATAACCTTTTTGCATTGCGCGGAGCATGGCATTATTGACGGAGTTGAATGACACAAAACATACCATTTACCACTATTGGATATTCGAATACCTGGCGACTTCTTCGCAATCTACATCAATCAAATTATATGCGATTACTATACATGTTCTCAGGCGTTGTGCTGACATTTGATTTACTCTACGCACATGAAGCATTGTAGTTGAGTGTCGCCGATAGCCCGCGTGGAACTTGTTCCTGCGTTAGCGCGCCAGCACTTGGACGCGTTGAAGCTTCCCTCGTTTCCTCGGCATTTCCAACATCGCGCCCAGTAATGCACGCTGCACCCTGTACGTCCAATCACCCCACCATCTTGCGCATTGCTATATGATACCTGCCATTGCGCCTTTTGCTTTGCAAAAACAAAACACGTCACTGCCATCTCGCGCAGTCGTCTCTCGCTTTGCTCAAACGCTGACAGCTTCATCTTCCGACAGCTACCTAGCTTTGCCTGGGACTTGCTGCAGCTCCATCCGTTCTTTTAGTTCTTCTCTCCTCTTATCCCCGTATACCTCGCCTCGAGCATTGCAAGTACAGAATCTACACTCGCTATGGCGGATACCGAGCCACAAAACACCGTCGAGAGCACGCCCGTCGAAGATGTCGAGATGGGAGGTTCAGCTCTCCCTCCCTCTCCATGCAACACTCTGGCACAAGCAATACCTAGACCATGACCCTCCATCTCCCAGCACGATGCCCATGCAAAAAAAAAAAAATAAAAAAAAAAAGAGAAAACGACAAATCATGTCATCCAGCAAACCCTCCAATCTACTACTTAGATTTGACTAACCCTAGCCCTCTTCCTCGTGCTCCCCGGAACCACGCTAGGCCCACTCCGCGTGGGCGTCTCATCGGAACCGCGCTTCTTCTCCTGCTGGTCGAGCACCAGCTGCAGCACGTCATATGAAAACTGGGGGAACTCGAGACACATGGCCTTGAACTCTGGCTCTGCGTCGTGGCGCAGGCTGAAGCTGCGCGTAGCCCAAAACGCCGCCACTGGTTTGCGGATGGTCGCGTCTTCGGGGTTGGATTCCTTGTACACGTAGCGCGCGTATGCGAGCTCGCCCTTTGCCGTGGATGCCGTGCGGTGGATCTTGGAGTGCGCCAGCGACTTGAGGTCTGGGAGCTGCAGGCGGTCGGCCAGTGTGTATATGCGTGCGTGGACGAGGAGGCCGAGACCCTCGTTGTCTACTTCGGGGAGGCGCGGGTCTTTCTCGAGCGATGCGTCGCGCGCGGCCGATGTCTTGCGGGGAAAGTATTCGCCTATGTAGAGGTACTCGATGACGGAGCCCATGGCGTCCACATCGCAGTCTGGATACAGGATTTGACGGGGCTAAAGCAACAGTCAATCAACAAAGGTACGTGGGAACGGGATTTGAGCATCGCGGTCATACCCCTCCTGGCGCAAAGCCGTCGATTTGCTTGCCTAGCTCTGGCGACTTGAGGAGCACCGCCTCGTGTGCTGAGTATGTGGCGTGGTTCTCTCCGGATCCAACAATCACTTCTACAATGGGGCTCTTGATCAAGCTGTTGGACACGTTAGAATCATTTGATCGCTTTCCGCGCCTGCTTCTGCAGCTTCTGCATGGCCGTCCGGCAGACTTGGCAAACTCGACGCGTGCATGGCGCGCCCAAGCTGTTCTCACAACCAACACCTGGCAAAGCTCCGCTCGCAACCCACCTGGGGATTTCTCTCCATCACTTACTCTGAGAACAAAACTAGCTTGGGCGCATCAGGCTCAAGCTCAGTCAAAGCCGCCTCTTCGCCCGTGTTTGCGCCTGTGCCCGCGCCCGCGTCAGCATCAGAGAGAGAGTCAGGCTAGATACATAGATACATATGCATGCATCCATCTATCTCTCTGCCTTGGGTACATAATATTCTTCACAAGTAATGTTGTTCACGTCTTTTTTCTTTTTCCTTTTCTTTTCCTTTTTTCTATTGATATCAGGGATATGAATTTTTCCATGTTATCTACTAAACCCATGTACTCTGTAGTAAGTGTGCAGTAGAGCCAGTCCAAGGATGAGGACACAGTGAGGTTCCAAGTACTATTGTATTATCCTTGTATATTCGTAAGAAACACGTTTGATACTTGTTTGATAGCAGTGTTGTTTGTTTACTTGTTTGTTTGTTTGTTGATTTGGTTACTAATGGCTGACAAACTTTGAATGTTTTCAATAGCCATGCATCTGATTAGCATTGATTAGATTTAGATGACATGGATTGCATCTGATTAGATTAGCTCGGATGGGATTGGCTTGGATAAATAGAGGAAAGTTGAATCGGACAAGTCCGACCGACTGAACGACTGGCCCGACTGGCGGAAAGACTGGCGAGACTGGCGAGACTGGCCCGACTGGCGGAACTAGCTTGAAAGCAAAAACTTTAAAACAATCTTCCCGTCGTCATTGCTAGGATGGGAGCGGCATATATTTCCTTGGACAGTGGAGGGAGGTTGCGGGTTAATCTGGACAAGGCATAGTATGGTTAGTATAGGGTTGCAATCTAGGCATGCAAGTGGAGAGCAAACAAGGCTGGATGGCATCTTGTGCATGTGGCATGTCGTCATGGGCGGTAGGGACAACTGGGGGTTCGCACACCCACACAATCCATGGCGGATGTAGGTGATTGTATGCACACCATGTCTTGTTGCGTTGATCAAAAAGCGGCAGCCTCGAGATGGCCCATCTTGTCTTGTTTAGGGAGCTGGATGTCTTGTTTATCGACGATCAAGATGCATTGCATGTATGCAGCCACAGATAAATGCATGCAATGCAATGTAGACGTTTGCTTTTCCCCTTCGTGTATGCGCACCGCTTGGGGAAAATGCAAACAAGATTACTTTTTCCGCCGACTCCATTGCTGCACATGGAATAATGTCCCGAGGAGGAGGATTAAAAAGTGGACGATCTAGTCGATTACTTGCATGTGCAAAACACCTTTTCTTGTTTAGGGTTTTGGGGGGTTGGGGAGACGAGACTAGGCGTATGTACGGTGACGTTGGCGCTGACGCCAACGCTGGCCATGAGCAGGGAGCGAGCGAGGGGAGCGAGAGAGATGGACGCAGGGACAGGACACGAGCGAGCGAGCGAGCGAGAGAGAGAGGCGAGTCGGGTAGCGCCACTGGAACACGTAGTTTGTTGTTGGGACGGCCGGTGTTGTATGGCCCAGTGACCTGTTGCAGCGCTGATTGAGTCATTGATTTTTTGGTTTGGTGGTTGTGGCTGGGCAGCACGAGAAGGTTGTCGGGCGCTGGGGCGGCGAGAGGGGTCATCCGGAGATTGTGACAGCTTATTGCTCGGAGCTCAGAGCCCCCAGGCGTACCGGGCGAATTGCCGGGAGTGCGAGTCTAAGCAAACGTTGGGCTTGGGTTTAGAGCGAGCTACTGTATGCAGTTTGGACAGCAACGGTCGAGCGGATCCCAGAGACGGGCACGTAGGCTAGGCGGGGGCGTGTGGAAATGGGCCTGTGTGGCAGCGGACAATGGATCGTTGACATGTGTCAATGGCTTCCCTCTTGGAGGCTGGCACAGACGGACCGGCTATGAGCGAGCACGAGTGCAGCATGTGCCCAAGACGACGGCGGCCCCCAAAGGATGCGCGAACACGTGGAGGTGCATGTCGTGGGCACAGGCAGCATGATGTGCGCGTGTGGATCGATCCGCTGCAACCTGGGCGATGGCGGTGTTTGCATTTGTGAAAGCGCGACCCGGGGCCGCGATGCAGCGCATGGGCATGGCTGTCGCGGTGGAGGTGGAGGTGGAGGTGGAGGTGGGGGAGGCGAGACGGTGATGGTGGTGGTGGGGGGGGGGATGGTGGTGTGTCTGGCGGTGGTGCGTGGTACATTGCAGGTCGCGTACTGAGTCCCAAAGCGACGGGGCCTGTATTAGAGGCGCGGCCAGTGGTGGACGACAGGACGCGGTCGGTCACGATGGCGGGCGGGCGTGCAGAGGGCGACGAGGATGGGCAGAGAAGAAAAGAGCCGTGGCCGAGCGAGGAGGGGCAGAGACTGGGGGAGAGTGGGTGGCTGCCTGGCTGGTATTTTTCCGAAGGCAGGCTGACATTCCCGGCGGCTGCTTACTCGCTCACATGACGCGGCCGCGGGCAGTGGAGCGGCCTTGGCCTCTTCTTTGCTTGTTCCATGGACCCTGCAGCGCGCCTTCTGCAGTAGCATTTGCAGTTGCAGTTGCAGTTGCAGTAGCAGCAGCAGCAGCAGCATTCACGTCGCCCGCGCCCGCGCCCTCTGCCTCGCCCGCCCTCGCCCTCTCCTCGCCCTCGCCCGCCCTCCCTCGCCAGCCCGGCCGCCGCTCCGCCCACGCATGTGCTCGTCCCGTTGCTTCTTGCTTATACAAGGGCCAATTAACCGCCTGTTCGCCCCCCCAGACGCCCGCCGCCGCCGCCGCTGCTGCTCGCTCCCTCTCTGCTTTTTCCTCGCCCGCCGCCCTCACAGCTCTCCGCGTCTTCTGCCTGTACTCTGCTGCCCACGGCCCGGTGGGCCTTCGCCGTAGCCTCTTTCGGCCATTGCCAGACCCGCTCTTGGGCCCTTCGCATCGACAGAGAGAGAGAGACCCACCCGCCCCTTCGCCCCTACCACCGCCCATCTCTACACACCCTACTGCAATCACCCTCTACTCTACACCCACCGCGCCTCGAGCCGCCGCCATGGCCTGTGTCGACGGCTCCAGCAGCTAAGCTCCTGCCACCGCACGCTACCTGCCTCTTCCATGGCCTCCGCGTTTCACACCACATAGCCTCCCCGGCCTTCGGAAAAGGCGCGTCGACGTACAGGCCCCGGCCCATCTAGTTTAAGACAAGTACAGATCCTCCTAGCGTCACTTGACCTACAAACAACGCTGCGCCCCGAGCCACCGTCTATCGTGTCTTTCAGAGACTTCGCCTTAGCATCTCGCCGCCTTGCCGACCTTGTGTCCCCCTTTTCGTTGCCTGTCTCTGCTCTTGAAAAGCACTATTTACCCTCGAGCACCCCCCCGTCACCTAATTCAAGTCAATCAATCAATCAATCAGTCATCCGTCCAACCATCCTACCAACCCAACCATTACCATACCACACCACACCACGACAGACAAACAAAATAGTTGTAGTCTTCTCCCAACCATCTCGTCCCCTCCCCTGTTACCTAGTCTTGTATGTCATGGCCGGCCGCTATGCGCAAAACGGGTGCTGAGTTTTTATGCAGGCATATCACAGACACAAGCAGTCAACCACTTGGGCCTCGTTCGACACACCTTCCGTCTGCAAAGTCCATCGGTAGACCTCGGCCACGTCATATTATATCCACACGTCCAAATGATCCAAGTGTGCTACTCGTCCCCTCCACTCAAGACCGTGCATCCGAGGCGACTCGTCCTCGCACCGGTCATCCAAACCCAAACAACCATGAATCCGCCCACAGCCCCCAACCCAGCCGGAGACGCTGGCGTTCTCCCGGAATTCAACAGCCTCAGCATCCAGGACGCGCCCTCGCCCCCCGTAAACGACGACGAGCTCGACGTGGTCAACATGTCGCGCGAAACCGCCATGAAGCTGATTGCACGCTCCATCATTGCCATTGCAAATGCTGCCGGCGACGTGCCGGCCACGCCGCCCATTTCCCGCCCAACCACTCCTGCTGGCAGGGAGAACCACGCCGTTCGCCAGCACCGAAGAACCTCTTCCAGACCGGCAACGCCTATTCCCGCCGAAAAGGAAAAGCACCAGCCCACCGAACTAGCGCCACCAGAAGCGGGCCACGACGAGCCCGTCACCATCCACGACATTGGCGCCGGCGCCCAGCCCGAGGCGGTGCAGCGGGCCAACATGGCGAGGAAATTCTTCTCCAAGACGGTGCCAAAAGTCGGCGTTGAGGAGTACATGAATCGCATCCAGAAATTTTGCCCGCTATCAACTGCGGTCTGGCTAGCGGCCGGATCCTACATGCTGCGTCTATGCGTTATCGATAGAAGCGTCCCACTGACCTATCGCACCATGCATCGGCTTATCTTGGCCTGTGCGCTGGTCGCCATGAAGGCCCTCGAGGACCACCGATGGCCCCAGAAGCGCTTCGCCGCCGTGGGTGGCGTCGACGAGGCGGCCCTGAGCCGGCTGGAGCTGTGCGTCGAGTTCCTGCTATCGTTTGACGTCCAGATCTTCACGCCCGAGAAGCTCAAGGACTTGACGCTGCAACTGCAAAGGGCGGGTCAGGCTGCGACCATGACGTGCAGACTACCCACAACATTCAACCTGAGGTTGGGCAACCCAAAGATGCGCAATGCACAGGTTGCGTGAGGAGCAGCAGGAAGAGCGAGCGCGCGTGAGAGAGAGAGAGCGAGAGGGAAAAACAATGTCCTTTGGTTTTTTTTGTGGTCGTTTCAAATTTTCAGGATATCCCCCCCCCCCACATTTGAGCATGACATTGGCGTTTTTGGGTATTAGCAAAACAGAAAGGCAAGGAAAGCCTGGGAATACAATGGGTTCGCGTGTACTAGTAGAGACACCAAGAGGTGCGCAGGGAACAGAGATTGAAATTTGTTGGCGCACACACGCACACACACACGCACACACACACGCACACACACACGCGGACGCAATGCCCGCTCGTGTCCACTGTTGACGGTTGTTTGTGGAGACCCGAGTGTGGTAGTGGTGGCAGCAGTGGTATGGTAGGGTAGATTCAGGCACAGGTACCGTTCCCGATCACGAGCATTGGCACGCGCGCCGAGAGGCCGTGCTGACGCTGATAGTCGACGCTTACGAGGGAGCGGCCTGCCAACTAGGCGGGCGGATCAGCAAGGCCCCGTCACCCACCGATCCGGTCTGGTGATATAACAATAACAAGTACATCGACTTTTGGTTGCCTGTGTGGTGTTGAGGCTGCGCAATGGCATGCGCATCCCTGCCAATAGCCATGTCTAGCTTGCGCGGCAACGACGATCGAGCCCCTGGCGCGCCACGAGCTGCTTGAAACCATGGCGGCTCCTCTGCGCCTTTCACTCGCATACTGACAAAACCCGCGCTTTACCCGCTCCGCCCTCCGCTGCCACACTCGCTCACAACGGTTACACCCACGCGCCTGTCGCTGTTGTTTTGCGGCTCGCCCCTTCGCTCTCTTGTCCTTGCTTGCTCTTGTCCATCCACGTCGCCTCTCGCTCCCTTCCTTGGCCTCATCATCATTCGCTAACTCGCAATACTACCTACGCCCACCATGCCACGGATACTGGTTTCTTTCGCTGCCGTCGTCTCTGCTCTGTCTCCGCTCGTACACGCCGGCATCACCTTCTCCTCCCCAGCAGCAGGCACCCAGCTCACAGCAGGCTCTGCCATTACGGTACAATGGACCGAGGGCGGCTCGGGACCCAAGATCGCAGACCTACAGGGTTATCAGTTGCAGCTGGTGGTGGGAGGGAACAAGGACTCTGAACAGGTAAGCCAGGACTCGGGAACAATGCGCGTAGGCGCTGTGGACTGACCATGGCTAGTTTGTCGCGACTACCATTACCCCAAGTGGCTTGTTTTCGGCGGGCAACTCGGCCTCAGGAAGAGTTGAGGCTGGCGTGTCCGAGGACTTGAAGACTGCCAATGCATAGTGCGTCCTCCCAAGTATCAAGCATGTCCTCGTTACAGCCAGCAGCGCACTAACGCCAGCCTTGTAGCTTCGTCAAGATGATTGCAACCCCAAAGACGGGCGGCGGCCAGTACGTCGTCTACTCCGACCGTTTTGCCTACTCGGGCATGACAGGCAAGGGCGTCCTCGCTCCCGCGATCAAGCAGGCCGCTCTGGCCGTCACCAACACCGACGGCCCCCCGAGCCAAGATGGCCTGACCAATGAAGACACTGCGGCGGCCGGTGGCGATCAATACGAAGTCGAGTACACGATGCAGACGGGACTGACTCGCTATGCACCCATGCAGCCGGTGCCAGGAACCAAGGTCACGGCCACCAACACGCAGCCACTGTACCCTACCAGCAGCGTGGTGATTGCAAAGACGAAGCTGCCAACCCCCAGCCAAGTCATTACCATCACCGCCTCTCAAACCTTCTCTACCAAGAGCATGGAAAACACGGTACGGTCCCAACGACTTGCTATGCGCGGGTATGACGTTGTGGTTGACATGACATGTGTGCTGACTATCTCGTAGGTGGCCCCAGCGCCTCACGCAACCGACGACATGGCCAAGTTCCTTAGGCGTTGGCAGGATTAAATGCCCTTTGTGGTATGCAAAATACACCAGTCAGCGCCTCGACGATTGGCTGCAATGGGCCGGTCGACCCAGCATCGACATTTACCTATCACCACCGACTGCGCTGGACTACGTGACTGTCCACTAGATGCATCAGTGGCACATGGATGGTGGCAGTGTTTGCTCAGCTATGGGGTCCGCGTCTGCTCATCCCATGCTTTTATTGAGCCTCGTGGGCGTGGTCTTCTGATCACAGTTCGATATGCCGGAACCATGAGAATGCCCACCTCTGGGCCACGGAGCACACACTGGTATTTGGAGCTTGTTTGTTTTATTAGCGATGGAGCGGATTGCATTGGGTTAACAAATTTAGACATGATGATGTAGTTTTACGCGCACTCGCGGTTGTATCAATGACAATGTAATAGTGTTTTGGCCACTACGGCTGCAGAATGCACCTTCCTCATGCAGAGGCGAACCAACCGCACAACCGCGGCTACCCGCGCACGTCAGATGCAAGTGCAAGCCTCACCCCACCACCCCCACCTTCCCAAGCTGTACTTAGCTGTCTTTTGCACCTCGTAAGCTCTCCAAGTCTTGCCGCGGCTCGCTCCCATGCGCACCCTCTTACCCCAAATCAGTCGCTCCCTCCGACACACCCTCCGCACTGCTACCGCACGCCCTGCACGCCCTGCAACTGCAACGCCCTGCTTCTACAGCCTATCTGCAGAGACGGACAGCTGGATCAACGTGACCAAGATGGCCATTGCTGAGAATTACGACGAGGTGCTCAAGGGCAAGTATCCAGCCAAGGAGCATGCGAAAAAGGTCAAGGAGTGGATTTTGAGCAAGGGCGGGGACAAGAATGGAACCATCTACCTCGAGGCACAGAAGCAAAAGTTGAACGAGGTCGGTCTTGATGAGTTTGCAACGTCGCCAAGGCTGATGTGGTTAGGACAATGATGGAGAGGCACCATTCAGACAGCGACGATACTTTTTCTACCTCAGCGGCTGCGAGCTCCCAGACTCGTACCTCAAGTACGAGATGGCAACTGAGAAGCTGACGCTGTTCATCCCCCCTGTAGAGCCTGACGAGGTCATCTGGTCGGGTCTGCCCATGAGCCCCGAGCAAGCCAAGGCCAAATACGACATTGACGAGTGCTTTACCACGAACCAAGTAAACTCGTACCTTGCCAACACATCCGAGTCGCCACAGTCGACCATCTATGCCATTCCAGAACAGGTATCGGACCACATTACCTTCATTGCCTACAAGGAAAAGGAGTTCAAGCTACTGAAAACCGCCATCGAGTACTGCCGAGTCATCAAGACCGACTATGAGATTGCTCTCACCCGCAAGGCAAACGCCATCTCCACAGCAGCTCACGAGGCGGTCATGAAGGCTGCGTCCAAGGCGCAGAACGAATGCGAACTCGAGGCTGTCTTCCTCAAGGCGTGTGTTGAGCGCAACGCAAAGAACCAGGCCTACCACTCTATTGTTGCCGCAGGCGAGCACGCAGCAACACTGCACTATGTCCACAATGCAGCCCCAATCGCAGACCAGAACCTGTTGCTGCTGGATGCCGGCTGTGAGGTTGACTGCTATGCATCGGATATTACCCGTACATTCCCCATCAAAGGCACATTCACAGACGAGTCTTTGGCCATCTACAAGATTGTGCTAGACATGCAAAAACAATGCATTGACGCACTCAAGGAGGGCGTCGTCTGGGACCACATCCACGAGCTTGCCCACAAGATTGCCATCAAGGGGCTTTTGTCTCTTGGTATCTTGAAGGGAGATGCCGAAGAGCTGTTCAACAAGAGGATCAGTGTGGCATTCTTTCCGCACGGTCTGGGTCACTACCTGGGAATGGACACTCATGACACGGGCGGCAACGCAAACTATGCCGACAAGGATGTCATGTTCCGGTACCTCAGGGTAAGGGGCGCTCTGCCCGAGCGTAGTATTATTACTGTTGAGCCTGGAATCTACTTTTGCAGGTTCATCATTGAGCCGTATCTCAAGGACGAGGAGAAGAAGAAGTACATTGACGAGAGTGTGCTGGACAAGTACTGGACTGTTGGAGGTGTTCGGATTGAGGGTGAGTCATGACTTGCAGTTTAATGAGTGAACATTCTGAGCTGACGATGATAGACAATGTGCTGATTACCAAGGATGGGATTGAGAACCTGACACCGACGCCGAAGGAGGTTGACGAAATTACTCAGCTAGTCAAGTCTGCATAGACGTATTGAAGTTGGGTGTTGCCGACTGTACTTGGTTGAAGAATAAGATGTTCCAAACACAGTCCGTGTAACCTCTACGAGCAATTGATGAGGCCTTTCAGATGTCGCCATCGTCCCTTGAGCATGTGTTCATGTTCGCTTGCCTTGATTGGTGGATATGTCATGCATGCTTTGTTCGCCTAATTCATTTACCGATATTAGCCCAGTCCCGTCAGGTATAGGAACCCCGGATTCCACAGCCCTCTGCATGCTCTTTGGACGATATCCCGAGGTGGCAACATGTGCGCCAATGCTGCCAGATTAAACTACTGTCGAGGCACGGAGCGTCAATGTCCGGGCTAGCGTGGTTTAGTACAATGTGAATGTATAGCCAAGACGGTGAATGAATGTATAAATGAAGAGCACAAGTGGTGATAGAGGGCACCGTGCTTTGCCAACATGTTTCGTTTTATTGTTGTTGCAGCGGCTCTGCTTGGCCTGGCAGTGGGTCAAAAGATTGTCCTTCAAGCCGAAGATGCCGCTCTCAGTGGTACAACAATTGGGTCTTCGGTCGCAGGCTTCACAGGTACCGTGGTGTCACCTCTGCAGAACAGCCTAACTAAGTTCGTCCAGGAACCGGCTATGTGGAAGGCTTCTCCGACGCCACCGACAAAGTCACCTTTACCATTTCCAACCAGACCGAGGGCCTCTATGATCTCGCCTTGATTTACAACGGCCCGTACGGCGACAAGTACACGACAGTGGTGCTCAACAGCGCGGGCGGCAGCCAAGTCAGCCTGCCAGCCACCACAACATGGATGACTGTTTCCGCCGGCCAAGTCCTGCTTGGAGCCGGGCAGAACAAGCTCGAGATCCAGAGTAACTGGGGCTGGTACCTGATTGACGCCATCACCCTCACCCCGTCTGCGACCCGGCCGCCACACAACATCACCACGACACCCGTCAATCCAAAGGCAAATGCAGATGCAAAGGCGCTGCTCAAGTACCTGGGCAGCATCTACGGCAAGAAGATCCTCTCGGGCCAGCAAGACCAAGCATCCCTGGACTGGGTGACGGCGAATGTCGGAAAGACACCCGCCGTGCTCGGCGTCGACCTCATGGACTACACCGACTCACGCACCTCGCGCGGCGCCTCGTCGAAAGACGTCGACTACGCGATTGCATTTGCGAAGAAAGGCGGCATTGTAACCTTTGTATGGCACTGGGGCGCGCCCACGGGGCTCTACGACACGACAGCGCAGCCATGGTGGTCCGGCTTCTACACGGCCGCCACAGACTTCAACATCGCAACGGCGCTGTCTTCGACCCAAAACGCAAACTACACGCTCCTACTTCACGACATCGACACGATTGCCGCGCAGCTCAAGAAACTGCAGCAAGCCAACATCCCCGTGCTGTGGCGCCCGCTGCACGAAGCAGAGGGGAAATGGTTCTGGTGGGGCGCCCAGGGCGCTGCTCCCGCCATCAAACTCTGGCGCATCCTATACGACCGGCTGACGCATTACCACGGCCTGAACAACCTGCTCTGGGTATGGAACTCTGTCGATCCCACGTGGTACCCGGGTTCCGATGTCGTGGATATCGTGTCTGCGGATACGTATGCGCAGGGCGACCATGGGCCGCAGAGCGCAACCTTCGAGGCGCTGCTGAAGCTCACGGGCGACACTAAGATTGTGGCTGCGACCGAAGTTGGGAGTCTCATGCTGCCCAGCCAATTGAGTGCGTACCGCGCCGATTGGGCCTGGTTCTGCGTGTGGAGCGGTGATTACATTCAGGGCGGTGCGTGGAATAGCCTCGACTTGATTAAAAGTGTGTATGCGGATGAGTATGTGGTTACGTTGGATGAGGTGCAGGGATGGAGGGGTACGTAGGTTGTGCTTAGTGGTGGTGGGGGGCTATGTTATGTACACCTACTAGTTATGTACATAGTATGTAGTCATACCTGTTTTCGGAAAAGAGAAAAAAGAAAGAGGGCTGTGTGCTGATGTGAGACTAACGGTTGTAGGTAAGTAAGTAAGTAAGGCAGAGACAGAGAGAGAGACAAGGCTGAGGCTACGAATTTCCAAGTATTCAGGCATGCAGCCCTTTTTCATACTGTGGTGCAAAAAGGCTAACCTTCTGCACCGTGCAGAAGGTAGAGTAGATATATCCCGACACTTACTTACTTATTTACTCCCCGCAAACTATATCTTTATCCCCCCACCACACACACACACACTCAAACTCCACAACATTCTTCTTTTCTCCTTTCCTTTCCTCCCTTTGCATTTTTTTGTTGATAGATACGGGCCTTGATATATATATATACATTACTACGCCTGCAGAATTAAGAAAAAGAAAATGGCAGAATCCCAACGGCCAAAAGTCGGCGTCGGAGTCATCATCCACGACAACAACGGCAACATCATCATGGGCGAGCGAGCAGGCAGCCATGGCGCAGGTAACCTATTCCCCCCTTTCCTCCACCCACCCACTCATCACCACCACCAACACAAAAAAAACCCCCCCAGGAACCCTCCAATGTCCCGGCGGCCACCTCGAGCACGGCGAATCCTTCGCTGCAACCGCCGCGCGCGAAGTCCTCGAGGAAACAGGCCTTGAGGTAGGCAACATCAAGTTCCTGACTGCAACCAACGACGTGTTTCCCGATGCTGAAGGAGCCAAACACTATGTCACTGTGTTTGTCACGTGTACGATTGTGGGGGAGGACAAGGTGGCCAAGGTATGTTGATGCCGTTATCTTTTTCTTTCTTTCTTTCTTTCTTTCTTTCGCAGCTATGTATGTATCTTTGGCCTGGCCATGCCATCCTCATGTTCAAAGGAAAGAAAAGGAAAGAAAGAAAAAAAAGCGCAAAAAAAAAAAATTTTTTAAAAAAAAATTGAGTGCAATCGAGTAAAATCCCCAAACCCCAAACCTTGACACGAATGCTGATTCGGATGATTCATAAATTAAAGCCAATGGAACCTCACAAATGCGCCGCCTGGCACTGGATCCCATGGCACCAGATGTGGGCGTGGGCGGGCGAGCAAGCAGAGGCGGAAAAGGCGGGCAGACCGACGACGGGGCGCGTTTTGTTTTTGCCGCTGGTGAATTTGTGGAGGGAGTATCCTGAGTTGAGGCATGTGTTGGGAGGTGGGCAAGTAGTTGGTAGTTGATGGATGAGTAGGAAGAGTAGGAGTAGGAGAACTGCGGAGAACGTTGTGGATTGGGTGTTGTATGGATGCAGGAGGGCTGTGTTGTGGATTGAGGAGGGGCACGAGTTTGAACAGTGCTGTGGATTGATCATCATCCAAGTCACGTCTTGTACTCGGTATCGAGAAGTAGTCAAATGCATTATCCAAATGTAGAGTACTTGGATCCGGCAGATATGAATAGCCTTTCTTCTCGAAAGCTGCTCGAAAACTGCACTTCATAAATCACAGCATGTCCATGAACAACTCCATCATCTCACATACGTGCACACGCACATCTCATTACATCTACAGAGCCAAAACTATCTAGCGCAACTTCTCACTATCCATTGACAATGAAAACAACAACTACTAAAACACACCTCCAACTACATGCTATTTCCAGCCACTCAAGCCAGCCCAAGGATCGTGCGCTGATCCTTGGTTTTGTCCTCCCTGTCTTTGTGGGTTGGCATAGCCTCCAGGCCCACTGGGATAAGATCCTTGCCCATAGTGGCCGTAATCTTGGCTTGGCGGCGGTCCTGGGGGTGGTGGCGGAGGAACGTAGCCTTGTGGGAGGCTGGGCTGCGGCGTACCAGTCCATTGCTGTGGAGGTTGACCCCAGGCCTGGTGTTGTTGATGTTGTGCTGGTGGAGAGAAGAATTGCTGATGAGCGGGAGGCGAGGCGGGATTGTACTGGTTGTGGGCTGCCGGGTTGTAGCTTGAAGAGGATTGCGAAGGCTGTGGTTGGTGCGAGTATTGCTGCTGGTAACTCTCTCGTCGTGGCGGGGGTTGGTTGTAACCGTTTGAAGGTTGGCTGTAGGATTGCTGTGGTGACATGTATTGCTGACTCGGGGCCGTAGTCATAGGGTAGCGTGGTGTGACCGGCGGCGAGGCTGCAGGATTGTATGCTGCGTGGCTAGCCCCTGAAGATGATGGATAGCTGGGAGTTGAAGACAGCGGTGGTGGTATGCTCTTCTTCCGCCCTGAACCTTGCGATACGGGTGACCCAGAAGGCTCCATAGACATTCTCTCCATAAGCTCCTTCATGCGCTGCTGTTCCTGATCTGCACCCTGTGCCTTGTTTCGCTCTTCAATCTTCGAGAGAAGCTGTCCACCTTCTGATCTCCGGTTGTTTACAAACGTTTCGACATTCTTTGAGAGACTGGACACGGTGTCTTTCATCTCCGAGTAAAAGGTCTGGGCGCGCGAGAGGCCGGCAACAAGGTCGTTGAAGCTTTGGTAAACTCTCCGGTATTTTGTCATGACCGTGTTTCGTTGTCTTGAGAAAGCCTCATACTTGCTCTGCTCGGATCGTACACGCTTGTCTTTGAGCAGGTCCGAGTAGGTACGCGTGAGCTCCTTGAGGAGCGACGCTTGCTTGTGGTTCGCCTGCAGTATGCGGTTCTGGTGTGGTCGGAACTTTTCGAGCTCAGCTTTGAACAACTGCGACTCCTGGTTCGCAATGGCCTTTTTGTTGAGTATGAGAACGTTGGAGATGTCGTCAGAGTGCACCTGCTTAGTCAGCATACCATTCGAACCGAGTGTCACACTCTCGAATCGAAGCCACATACCTTGTCTTTGAGATCCTTCAGTATCTGCATCCGCTCCTTTTTGACAAGGTTCAGCTTGCGCAAGATATCCTCAACAGCTGTAATCTGGTCTGTGACCGAAGGACCCTCGTCAATATCATCGTCGATAAGACTGCCTTCTGCTGGCCTGGGGCTCTTTCCCTTGGTTGCACCAGCCTTGACCATGGCTCTCGAGTATAGCACGTCCGCTTCGTCCGTCTCACCGGCCGACCGCATCTCGTCAAAGTCGGCTTCGTACTGCCGGAAAGTGTTGTAAAGCTGAGCATCACTACTGCTCGCCTCTTCGACAGCCCCACGATAGTTTCTGATATCGCTTCGCAATGTCGAAGTCAACCGTGAACTGGGCTGCTGCGTCCAATCTGCTCCGTACTTGGATCTCATCTTCTCACAGACGCTTTCTTCCATATCCAGCTGCTTCATGCTCGAATCGAGCGAACTGAGAATCTCAGCCTTGTCGTGGTCCAGTTGCTCAAATGCTGTGCCAAAAGATTGATGCCCAGCGAGCTCCTCACACCACGTTCTAAAATCATTGTCAACCATCATGTCCTGGTCCATGCCTCCTCTTATAACGTTGAGGCTATCAGGCAGTTTGAGGTAATCCAGACTAGCGGCCATCTCGTCATTTGCGACTTCGACCCGTTCGCTCTCGGCACGTATGAGCTTGGCCTTTTCTTCGTCATAGAGACTGGCTGATTCAGTCACGGCTAGAGGCACAATCTTCTGGAAGATGTCTGGTCCAATGATTCTCTGGATGTCTTGGCCCTGGTACAGCTCGCTAACAGGAATTGCCTTGGCCGCAGGCATTTTCGAAACTTGTGTAAGCGATGCTTCATTCGGGATGCCTTGGTGGTAGATGAAATCATTGTCTTTGGAAAACTCGGCCAGCTTCTCCTGTACATTTGCGAGATGCTTCTTGGTCATGTCGGACAATATACTGCCCGTGTCCGAGGCCAGGTTTGAGTTGGCAGGCGCATTGTTGGGAAAGCTGCCTGCTGCTCGCGTGGCGTCTTTGGCACTGGCTTCGGCAACCTGTAGCCTGCAGATTGCTACGCCGTGTGAGTTCGCATCATCGTCTGCTAGAGCCTGGTAGTACTGTGCCAGGGATGCCATGTGGTGTGATTTGATCTGTCAACAGTCAGTCTTGACTTCCCGGATATGCGTCGAGGCTCGTACCTGGCAAACCAACAGCCAGACCTTCTCAAATACAGCGTTGGTAACGTTTTCCTGTGCGCCTTCTGTGGCCTGGGCATACAAGAATGCAGCCTGGCTCGCCAGTTTCGCAAGCAAGCCGACCTTCTTTCCATCTGCAATTTGCTTCTCTAGAAACACCTCTTGCGCCTGCGCGAGCATGATGGCGATCAGCGTCTTTACAGTCTCTCTGCTAAGATCCGTCGACGGCGCATGTAGAAAGTTTTCGTTGATGTATGTAAACATGCCAGCAGAGGCCTGGAAAGAGTGATAGGCCGTCTTGAGCCCGACATCTTCGTGGCGATTCTGGTGGGCAGCATGACAGGACAGGACGGCCGAGATGTTGAAGATGATGCTGGCTTTCTCGTATGCGAGCGAGTACTGCGAGGTAGGCTTGTGTGTAAACGCATCGAACCTGTCATGGGTCAGTTCTGGCTGTGCTGCGGCTGCCTAGTTGTCCCCCGCTCCCGTCGTACCATGTAAAGCTAATCTTGATGTGGTTTTCATCGACCGGGAAGCGCAAGTCGAGCAATTCCAGCTGGCCGTAGTATCGGTATAGCAGATCTCTCCCCGCTGCACTGTCCTTGCCGGCGCCTCTCATGTCCTGTCGCAGGCGGTTCAGCGTAGCGCATTCTTCCGAGTACCGCTCCGGGTCATCGCCGTAGGTGGCTCGAATGTACTGCTTGAGCGGGGCGATCCAGTCAATCTCGTTGGTCTGCTTCAACGGCACCGAAATCATGGGTATTTGCGTCGTCATCGTGGGCGATGGGTGCGCTGGACGCGTTTGCTGGAGAGGTGTGGGCGCAAAGGCGGGCAGGGCGTGGCCCTCGGGCAGTGATCAGCAGCAATGACGGCGTAGGCGACAACGTGGGAAGTGGGCGCTCGCAGCTCGTGGGGTCGCCGACGGGAGGCAGAGCAACGACCAAAACACCGCGTGGGCTACAAGACGGGCGTCTATCGATGTCGCGAGTGTTGCTGGAGGTGTGGCCAGACAATCACGCAGCTCGACGTGTGGCGGACATGGGGGATGCACAGCGCACAGCGAGATGATGCGTTGGTCGGGTGGCTGTTCACCTGGGCACACGGTCGTCAAGCCGCATGAGGCACAGTCTGCGAGCGATTGTATGCGGCACGGGCAAAGCTTATATGGCAGCGCGGCGGCGGGTGCTGTGCAATGCCGTTGGCGAAGCTTGGAAGGTGTTGTCTCGGACGTGGTGGGGAGGGAGGGGGGGAGAACTGCCAGGTACATGCATATAAGCAACACCAGAGCCGCGCCCTCTCAGGCCGCCCCTGCCTATCATGAAGCAGGCACGCCACCAAAGCCAGACGGCTATCGGTATGTGACGACGGCCCCGAATCACACCGTCGTGAGCATGAGGCAAGGCCAAGTGGGCGATGCCCATGTCTGCGGCTTGCGCCCGCCCAATGGCATTGGCAAGAGGCCGCATCGCTACGCGCCCGCGATATTGGCCGTGGCAGGCTAGCCGAAGCCCTCATCAGCCCTGGAACACTGCATGACGAGACGACACCGCCAGAAATGCTGTTGTGCATCCGTCTTTTCATATCAATCATAACGGGCGTGATATTATACAAGCCTTGAGTCGAGAGGCCGGATACAAATACTTCTATACACCATGGTCCAAGCCACAGCTTCACATACGCCATCCAATGCTACCCAGTGTTTTTGCTGCCGCTCCCTGTGGCGCGTAGTGTCGCCGTGTACGCCGGCCCATTCATACAACATATCCCAACCCTGATCCACCCTTAACCTGATCCCTTCTTCTTCTCGTCTTCCTCCGCTTGCCGCCGTTCTTCAGCGCTCATGTGCCTGTGTTGGCCAGTCAGATTATGCCATGCACTCTTCAGGAACCCCTCGTTCTCGTGCCCGCTGGGTGCCGTGTTGCCCGCCGTATCCTTCATCTTGCCGGGATTGATGACTCGCTGCGCGCTCTTGTCTCCCATCTCGTCTGCGAGCATCTCGAGAATGGTGCGCTGGTTGACGCTGAGGTACTTGGGCATGTTGACCTTGAACTCTACGCGCAGATCACCCTTGCCGCCACGCCGTCCAGAGAGCACCTTCATGCCCATGCCGGGAAGCGTAATGCGGTCGCCTGTCCCAGAGCCGGTTGGCACCTTGACCTTGACCTCGCCGTCCAGCGTGGGCACCTTGATCTCACCACCCAACACTGCAGTGGTCAGAGGGATGGTTGCCGTATGGAGAATATCCGAGCCGCTACGCTTGAACTTGGGGTCAGCAGCCACGCGGATAAGGACGTAGAGATCGCCCTTTTGGCCGCGGATCTGGCCAGAAGACATGGCTTGGCCAGTAAGCGGCGCATCTCCCTCGCCGTTGACGCGCAGGCGCATGCCATCCTCGACACCACCGGGAATCTCAATGGTGATTGTCTTCCGTTCTTTGACTGCTCCGTCGCCACCGCAAGTGCCGCAAGACGAACCTCGGGGAATGGCAAATCCTGAACCGCCACACGATGAACAGGTTGCGCTCATGTGGAAGCTGCCCATGCTGGTTACCCTTTGCCCAGTGCCCCCACAGCTCTTGCACTCTGCTCGCTTTGCGCCCTGCTTAAGCCCACTGCCGTGGCATGTCCCGCATTCTACCAATGGTGTAACGTGAATGTCCTTCTTGACTCCCTTGGCAGCATCCAGAAAGGAAATGTTGGTTTGCACTTCGATATTGTCGCCCACCATGATCTCTTCTTCGAACGGGCTCCTCCGCCCACCCGACCGTCCCCTTCTGCCTCCTGTGAATGCGCCGAACAAGTCTTCGAAATTGATGTCTTGGAACGGGCCCTGTGCCCCGCCACCAAAACCGCCGAAGCCTCCAAAGCCTCCGCCGAATGGATTTCCTCCTGGCCCTCCAGGCCCAGCACCAGCACCAGGGTTGAAGCCGCCATTTGCGTCGAAAGCGCCTGCGCCGTATGAATCAAAGGCCTTCTTCTTCTCGGCGTCGGAGAGAATTTCGTATGCGGATTGCGCGGCTGCAAACTTGTCCTTCGCACCAGGGTCCTTGTTTGTATCTGGGTGGTATTTTTTGGCCAGTCCGTAGTATGCTTTCTTTATATCCGCTGCCGATGCGTCTCTGCTGACTCCAAGCGTCTCGTACGGGTCGACCATGGCGAACGACGGAGGGGAAGCATGGAAGAACTGCGGGGGGCATTAGCATACAAGTCGGGTGCAAACCAGGAGGGGGGGTGCTTGATCGTACCCGTATTGATTGTGCATTTTTATAGGGCTGCGTCAGTGCTATCGAGGGTCTTCGTGGTTGTGCTCGTGGTGCTTGCGTCGCTATACATCGTCGTTGGCACTTGGTAAGCGATCGCGAGCCGGCAATGCGCACAGGAGCCACCGCCTTGAGCGGCAGCGGACCAGCAAAACTCATCTTGGGTGTTGTGGGAGATTGATCAGCGAGCGTGGTGATAATGCTCTGTGAGCTCGTCTGCGACCCGGGCGCTGGTGATGTCTCTCGCCTGGCCGTGGGATAACTTTTTGCGGGCACGGGCCGGTGACGCACCGTCATTGGCCGGCTTGGGTAACGAGCGCGTCGAATCTTCGAGAGTATGCCACGACGCGATGCCGCCTCTCACATATACATAGAGAAAAGCTTGAATTTGTCGGGGCCGATGCGCCAACGTCTACACACACACGCACACACATGCGCCCTGCATGCGGCGAGCACGCTGCAGCCCGACCTCGGCGACCCGCTACGTGCCGGTATCATACATACAGCGCAGAACCTCGATATTACAAACGCCTCGTAATCCACAATGCTCGTCTCTATACATGCCGAGTTGTACCGCGTGCGCATCTACTATGCCCATGTGCGCTCCAAGCCCAGCCCGTAGCGCATAAAAGCCTCCCTAGTCATAACATGCCCAGTACGCCAAACTCCCGTTGAATGCTCGTGTCCCATAAGGTATAAATAAAGATCGGAGGCGAGGGCGCCAAGGATGGGTATCGTCGAAAGAAAGAAAAAGCCGAAAATGCAGCGCTGTGTATGCGGAGAGCGACCCCGTCACTTCCTGTGGGGGGCGAATCGTACCCGGAATTCCTTGCCTGTCGGACGTCTCGGTTAGCGCTGCGATGGCGGTGGAGCACGGGTCGGGTGCCATGCCTTGGTGTTTGGACTTGTACAGCCAGTCGACTATCACGTCACTCTCGGTCACGGCCTGCGAGTTGAAGCTCTTCTTGACCGCCAGCCCCAGCTGGTCCTTGTGCACGCGTCGCTTCGACTTGGGTCGCGCCATGGTCGGGGACATTCTGCCGATGCCTTGGTTCAGCACAACGTGGCTGAGCGGGTTCTTGAAGCTCGAGGGGCAGTCGAGGCGGTAGGCTCGGCGGTAGCCGTGGAGGACTGACGAGTCTTGGGCCGCCCATTTGATCTATGCGGCGCGGCGCATGTTAGTACGAGATGCAGGGCTGGACATGCGCCCGGGCGAGGCTGCAGAGGCGCGACTCACGTTGCCCGACGAGCTCACGTCGACCGACGTATGGCCGCTGTTGGTCGAGGCATTGTCGACCTCCTTCAGGCTGCTGCCGTTGATGATGCTCGCGCCGCCGTTGCGACGGACGCCCCGCGCGTTGGGTCCCTGGAGCGTCTGCAGTTTGTCCTTGAGCGACGGAGGCGCCTCGTCGGGGTTGTGGGTGCGTTTCGGCGGCATTGTGCAGGGCCAATGGACGGGGCGGAGGAGATGCAGGCTCGCCGGGGCTGGGGGCGAGGCAGAGACGGAGGCGCAGAGGAGTCGCGATGCGTGATCATGCGTTGGCCGAGTACGGGCTGCCAGCGAGAGGAGAACAAAATGACGGCGGAAGGGTCCAAGCGCAAATGACGTTGGCGCGCCTCGGTCAGGGTCCTCCCTCGCCGTTTCCCCCCTTGCCTTGCCTGGCCTTGCCTTCCCTTCCCTTCCCTTTGCCTTTGCCTTTGCTCCCTTGCATTGGCCAACGCCGCCGGCTCACCCTCTCCTCCTGCAGTCAGCCCGCCGACTCGTGGCGAACACCACCATGCCGCCGTCTCTTTCTGCGCCGCTCGCTGCGCTGCCGCCGCCGCCGTTGCAGTTGCAGGTCTTCGCTCCATGTCGCTCCCAATCCGGCATGTCGTCGCGTAAATCACGCGTCGCTCCTCGGCTTCCCCTCATCATCCCGGCCCCTCGCCTGCGACCAATAACATGCCCCGAAAGGGAAGCACCGCCGCTGGGCAGTGCCGCATGTCCACCGCCGTCGCTGTCTCTGCAAGGCCCATAGCTGCTTACCCTCGCGAAGCAAAAATGCATGTCCCGTTCACTGTCCAGCCTGTCAGTTGGGGTTGCCATGTCGGCCCTTTGGCGCTTGCGCCCCCTTCGAAAGTGGAGACGCACCAAGCTCGCGTGGACGGATTCCCTGGTCGGAAGCATCTAGCGGTATACCTCTCGTATCGTCATGTCAGGTCGTACCCGACGTTTGGCAGCGCATCCGTCCGGGCATGGCCACTGTTATGAGGAGCGCGGGGAGCACATGTCAAGGAAAAGCTTGATAAGCGAGTGCCGCCGAAGACAAAAATGACCTGTCAGGCGCCTGACAAGCGAAGGAAGCACCATGGTCCAGCACATGTCAGTCCCGATCGGAACCATCTCGGCGCCCGTACCCGCGTTCTGGATTAGCCCAAGTCGGCCTTCAGCGAAAACGAGTGATTGCAGGCAGAGTGACGACTTACCACGCGCGTCTCCATGTCGACAGAAACGGCGCTATGACAGCCAAGCAGGTTCACAAACTATGCGGCTGACAGCGCGCATGTGTAGCAGTCGCCGCTTCTTCGAGCTGGTAGCTATCAAATGGCCAAAGAAGGATCCGTGAGATTAGACTTTCGGGCATTTCAAGCTTTGCACGCTGTTTTCGCCTTGTCGACATATCTTAACTGTTTTAGCAGTGGCCCTACAACAATGGAACGAACATCCTGATCTCACCATGCAACAAAGGTATCCAGAAAACAGTGTAGCTGCTATTACCATAACAGTATCAAGTAAAGCAGCCCAGACCTCTACCCAGCCAGTAGCGTGGTGAAAACCAGGAGGTGATAGGATAAACAGGGCCTGTTGCCTTGGAGTACTTGAGCATTCACGTATTGTCGCATTATCAAATAGAGTCTACTTTACCCCACTCCTCAAAACTTACAGGCCGATGCACGTTTTATCTCTCTCACTTGGAGCAGGACTCAAGGCACCAATCTTTGCCACCTCCTTCACCGTAGCACAGCCGCTAGTCTCTTACCGGTACCCCATATAAATAGGCTTCGTAGCCTGTCAGTCTCATTCACACCCTTTACCACACACTTGTCCAACTATCAACACCCAGAATCGTTGTGTACTCAAGTATATCCACAAAACCCCAGTGCGTCAAGACCGCTGACCTATGGTCTACTTTATACTAACCTTGCAGCATCATTCAACAGCTTTTAAGCACTTTACTCCGTCGGCTGCGAGGGTGTATCACTTCCTCCACACCAAATCTGACTATCCCACGCCGTTTACATCCAACATTCTTTGCACTCCACCTCTAGTATGAGTAGACAGCTGGATCCTACAGCTAGCAGGTTCGCGCCAAACGGCCGTCGGCAGAAAGACGCGAACCATCAGGCGAGTAGCCTTCTTGCAACCCACCTTGAGGCTCGTGTCGTCAACCTGGAAGACCAGCATGCAAACTTACAAGACGAGGTTGGTACTCTCAAAGAGCTCTTTCATGACCTTTCCTCCGCCGTCGACAAATTGAACAAGGATAGTTCGCCAGTAGACGTCAAAGCCTCACACCAAGATGCCAAAAAGTTCAGCCTCGAGTTGGAAAAACTCAAAGAGAGGGTTCTTGAATCGGTCAGCGGCGATCATGACAAGCTGAAGGGGACCGGTAGTACTATCTCCAAGCCGAATGACATTGTCACTGCCAGCGTCACAGCCAATAAGTCCATCCCTCCTCACATGCGAGGAAAGGCATCTCAGTCAGACAACGGCAACAAGTAAGTCCCCGTAACATAACTTGATATCTTCGATTTTGTTGAGCCATTCCAAACTAATCAGTTACAGGCCCCAGCAGCAGGTTGTGTCCGGCAACCGCGACACTCCGGCCGTGGAAGTCAATGTCAGTTTTCAGCAGTCTCCGATGCCGGTGCCATCCCCACCTCTTTCTCCAAAGCCCGCCGCCCAGGACAAATCTACCAAATACATCCCCCCCATTGACAAGCAGGCCTGGAAACCGTACCATCTTACAACTATGGTCCCGTTTTCAGGTCAGATTCCTTATACTGAAGTCACGTTTCATCCAGACTTCCTCGCCAATCATCTGGGCGGGACACCTTGGTCACCAGGCCTACGCTTCATCAAAGGCAAGGGTACGTGCATACTCAAGAACCGTACATACTACCAGATCGATCCGGAGAACGAGCCATACCTACCCAAAGCACCTGGCGAGCACGGTGCCAAGCTCACAGCGTTCTTCAACAAGGCTCCCGAAGACGAATTCTGCGACCTTTTCGACAATGGTTCCAACTCTTATGAAAATGTACCCATGTTCGTCCTTGTCAACAAGCGTTACGTGTACTATGGCAACTACTCACAGACCCGTTGGTCAGACAAGTTGGACCATGACACGATGATGACTAAGGTGCCTGACCATGTCAAGGACTTTTGGGCTGAGGAGCTCAGTGCCCCGACGCGTGAGAAGTGGGTTACCGAAGAGCTGAAGAAACATTTCTTCCGCAAGCCAGAGTACAACGGCCGTCTTTTCGCTGCCCCGGAAAACGAGACTACTGTCGACTCTGCAGAAGATGCCAAGCTCACTGAGAAGATGGCTAGAGATGTGCGCAAGTACGTCGACGAGCTTCGTCAGTGGGAGCGTGAGGCTAGTATGAAGGCTTCCCTGATCAAAAAGCAATTCATTCTTGAAGCATTCGATACGGTAGGTGATTTCTCAACCATGGCTGGGACGGTGCTAACTCAACATAGTCTGACATGGATGAGCTTCCTGCGCTTCGCCTCTGGTGGGAATACCTCGAGTGTGTCGACTGGAGGAAGGACTTCTATGACCTCCTGGTTACCCTCCAATCGCGTGAGGGGCAGAAGTACGCCTAGTCAACTGAGGCAGTGGGTTTGATCACTTGAGTTGAACACTGATGCAAGCGGGACTGGTTGAACTCTGATGGAAGGGCAATGATCAGCTCAATGTGACTTCAAAGTCAATACCTTTGGCTGTTCGTGCTCAAGAAAAAAGCGACATGTGCGACGGTTAAGTCCCGGTTGGAAAAGGGGTTGGTTGGTTTTCTTTCAGGCTGTGGGTTGATTGTTCTTATCGGGACTTGGGTCATGTTACATTGCTTGACATGTCAAAGTGTGCTTGTGTGCACCTGGAAAAGTCACCAGTTTGATAGTATCAAGACGAGTTCATGTGTAATATCTCTACTACTAAAGCTGTGCCGTGCCAACGTGCCAGGCAAGTCCGTACTAAAGCTGTATTTGGAATATTCCTTCGAACTGCCTTTCCAGCATGCTGAAACTGCAGCCACTCCCCAAATCACCATCACTACAGTGCTTATCGCCGTGTGGCCTAGTCTGCGGCCTTACCATCTAAGACTGAGCATCCAAGCCACAAACTAGACGTTCATCACTGTAACCGGGTGCTCAGCACACTTTCTGCATCTGACTCGTCACAAACCTGGCACTCGGGCCATGCTTCATCTATCGGCCGTCCACGCGGTATGAAAAGCTGCTCAGCCCCGTCTCCTATGATGATGGGAATGGGCATCACTGCATCACGCTATCGAATACTATATCGTAGGGTCAGATGACGTATCGCCTCGCGTCGCCCACCAGAGAATTTGTATTCTGGAATTGTTTCGGTACGCATGAGAGGGGAACTGGCGTTGCTAAGTGTAGCTGCTTAGCCAGCTTTATGTTCTTCGCTCGCAGTATCGTCGCACAAACAAGCTTCTAATCCTGGTTTCCTTCCAAAACCAACATGTCCCATCTCCCTGAGTGGAACAAGGCTCTTTGCGGAATGCATAATCTAAAGGGACACAACCAACAAGACGCCACCATGATGAGTGGCGAGCTTGCTGCGCATAAGCGAGCGCCTCTTCGTTTCGCGCTCAGTGACTACCGACATGCCTTGCACGCCATCTCTCCACCCCATCCATAACGTCCCTTGCAGTCCTCGTGCAAAACCCATTTACCAAGTCTCGCTATGTACCTTCATCACCACCACCCAAACACACTGACCACCACCATGGAAACGCTGAAGCCTCGAGACTAATACCTCAAATCGGAACAAGCCTCGCAAATACCCGGCCAAGACCATTTTTTCAAGTAAAAAGGGACCCACATGTCATATATCAAGCATCAAAGGTCATGGGGGTTTTTTTTGCACGCGTTACCCGATTTCCCCGCGGATTGGCAACTTCCGGTTGTTTTTAACAAACACATCCCTGCTGTTATTCATCTACTGTACATGAGCCCGAGAAAACGGGTGCGTGCTCCGTCTGGCTCGTCACAACAGTCGATTGTTTCTTGAGAGTGTTATTGGCTGGCTTTGGGGGGGGGGCGCAGTTAATAATGGCGTTTTTTCTGGGTGTGGTATGGTTACACGGGGGGGTTGTTCTCGATATGCAGCTTGTGTGGAGAAGAAGTGGCCGAGATGGCTGCGCTTGGTAAGGCTTTGGCACTTGTACATGATACAATATCCGGAGAAGAGTGCGCGTGACACCGTATTTGGATCCTTAGAGGTTCGGGAGAGATATAATAGGGAAGGTATGCTGGGCTCTGAAGGGTTGTGTTACTCTCCTCAAGCATTGCCTTTGGTTCATTATACATTGTCGAGTATACTACACTCAATATGAAAGCCTCGGCAGTGTTCTCAGCAGCCGCGTCGCTGTTCGCGACTGTCAGCGCCCATGGAGCCGTCGACAAGTATATTGTAGGCGACACATCATACGCTGGGTGAGTTCACTTGGTACATGTAAGCCATTTCGAAGACTGACAAGGCTAGATGGCTACCATACAACTCCGCAGCTGGACAGAAGAGTATCCAGCGACAATACCCATCCTTTGACCCTCTGTACATCAAGGACCTCTCTGTAAGGCCTCCGCACAACACAATATGATGAGTAACCTCTAATTATCTCAGACTGTCAACATCCGATGCAACAACGCAGGCGTGCTGGGCACCGGTCTCACTGGCACCATCGCCGCAGGCGCCACACTGAAGACACACTGGGCGCAATGGACTCACCGACCGACGTCGTTTCTCGTCTACATGGCCAAGTGCCCGGGATCCTGCAACAGTTGGGACGGCTCTGGCAAAGTCTGGTGTACGTACACATGGATATGCTTGTCACTCATTCATACAAACACCACCCTGCTGACGCCCCCTCCCCAGTCAAAATCTACGAGCAAGGCCTCATCTCCGGCACCGAAAACGCAGGCATCTGGGCCGGCGACGCCATCCTAGACACTCTCTACGCCACCGTCACCATCCCTGCCACACTGGTGGCTGGTGAGTACCTCATCCGACACGAGCTCATCGCCGTGCACCAAGCCAACAACCCCCAATGTAAGCCCCATTGATTGCCCTGGCCCCCCTCCATCCATCCCGCCCTCCCCCACTAACACCAGCACGCAGTCTACCCAGAATGCGCCCAATTCACCGTGACGGGCTCCGGCACCGCATCGCCGCCCTCGTCGGTCCTCGTGTCCTTCCCCGGCGCCTACTCCGCGTCCGACCCAGGCATCGACTTCAACATTGACTCGCCCGCCGCCAAGACCGCAACGTCGTACCCGGTTCCTGGGCCGCCCGTGTGGGACGGCGCATCCGGTGGTACTGCGCCGCAGCCGCAGCCGTCGGCTACGGTTGCGCCGACCACCATGATGACCAGTGCCACGCCTGTGCCGTCGGCATCGGCCGCGCCCCCGGCGACCTGCCAGGTCCAGAAGTATGGCCAGTGTGGCGGCAAGTCGTATACCGGCTGTACGGTCTGTGCTAGTGGCTCGACGTGTGTGGCTAATGGCGAGTATTACAGCCAGTGTGTGTGAGGGGAGATGACGGTCCTGAGAGTTTTGTGGGTTGATTTTTTGAGTGGATGGTTATTCAATGTAGTATCGTTTTAGTAACGTAGGCATGTCACTTTCGCTTCTGGAATGGATACATCGCATCGTGTATCGAGTAGGCATATCATGACTATTTTGCGTGGCATGCAGTGATTGCACTGGCAACTTTCCAGTGATGGTGGTGCGGCTGTAAGATTCCAGTCGCCATGCATAGGTGTAGTGTTGACGACATGATACTTCGATTCATTGTAATACGAGTAGTGAGCTGTATGAAGTATCGTGCGAGATCTAGTCTGTTGGAGTAACTGCTTTTGCGGCTTCCCTTGTCACGATAGATGTACGTAGATAACATTTCGCCGTTCTGACAAACCCAAAGCCGTGACTCAGCACTAAGAAAAAAATTATTAGACTTTATCGATACTGTGCCGCTTGAAACATGTCCAAACATACCCATTTCCCCCCCATCTGGACGTACGCTATTGTGCAGATGTGAAGGATGTTCGTCTTGTTCACGGATTCCGCTTTTCCACAGCCGCAATCTTGGGCAGGGCGTCGCGCAGCTCCTCCTTGTCTTTTTCTGTTGGGGTGAACCCGAGCTTCTCTTCAGCCACGTCGGATAGGTAGAGACCAGCACCTGCATACGCCATGACGCCCACACCAATAAACATGCGCGTCTTGGGCTGCATGCTCTTGAACCATCTGGCGACAATTAGCATGGAAATAGTGGGACTCGGTTAGCCGGGATGTTCGTACTGCCAGACGGCCATGCTGGGCGTTGCAAAGTCGGAGTGCGGTGGTCAGATGGGATGACGAGGCAAAGGATTCGACAATGCCAAGCTCAAGCCACGTTCCGGTCGCAGCAATGTCGCTCCCATGCCCTGACCTCAACACAATATTTACAGTTGAGATTGGCACCTTATCGCCCTGTCATCCCCTGAAGCCTGTCGCCACCGAACAGGGAAATGACATGTTAACCTGGAACTGCCAGCACCAAGCGCCGCAACTCCGCACCGTCTCCGCAGCTTGAGGACAGATGTGTGCGCTATTACCGCCCGCTTCCTAGGCCCCCGCCCGCACCAGACGCCTATTAATACCCTCGCAAGATGCCCGGCTTCCGCCGCTGGGGCAGGTCCAAGTTTGAGCGGAATCCAGAGTCATCGTTCAAGCTGCTCGCCGCCATCATCGTCATCACGCTCTACCTGCTCTTCAAGGAGTTTCAAAACCCAACGTTCCGCGACCGAGGCGCGAAGCATGGCGCACAGATACAGTATGCCAACTGGAATGGCACGGGCAAGCCAGACGAGCCGCGGGCAGAGGGCGTGCGCAATGCCATGAGATACACCTTTTGGAAGTACAGGGAGAACGCGTGGGGCTGCGATGACGTGCTGCCCGTGTCGGGGGGCAATTCGTCGTCGAGGAACGGCTGGGGGGCTTTCATCGTAGACTCGGCGAGCACCCTGGCGCTCATGGGGCTGTGGGACGAGCTGGCGTATTCCGTGGAGCATATTGTGGCTATCGACTTTACCCAAACAGAGGACCTGGTCGACCCCTTCGAGACGACGATACGCTATCTGGGCGGGCTGCTTTCCATTGTGGACTTGTACGATGTGGGGCTCATACCCGAGGACGTACTGACGAGCGACGCGCGCGATCTCGTCCTCGAGCAAGCTGTGACTCTGGCAGACAAGCTTGCACCGGCGTACGATACACTCACGGGCCTGCCCTGGCCGCGTGTAGACTTCCAGACGGAGCGCGGCGAGCCCAATCCCTCGTTTGTCCTGCACAACGACCCTGCGCAGCGCGAGTATGACCACCCTATTGTTGGACCTGCACGAGCTGGCTCGTCGGTACTCGAAAACCGCGTCCTGACCAGACTGACGGGTAATGCCGTCTACACGGAAAATTCCACAAGAGCATGGGCGCCGCTGGTATGGTCGCAGTGGAAGACTCCGTGGCCCGGAATGGTAGATGCGCCCATCGATATCATGACAGCAGAGCCTGTTCGCCGCCAGAGACACTGGGACGGTGGGCACGATTCCTACTACGAGTATCTGGCCAAGATGACGCTTTTGGCGCCGCCCTCGGACCCTCATCTCAAAACGTACAAGGACCGCTTCGTGCGAGCCGCATACTCTCTCCGCACACACCTGAGCTCACGCTCCGCACCCGCCGCCGGCCACTTCATGCAGCACCTGTACATTGGCCGCCAAGACGACGACGAGTTCGAAAACAAGCAAGGCCACCTCGCCTGCTTCGCGCCCGGCACCATCCTGCTCGCCTCACAGCTCTACAACCAGCCGGACCTCCGCACCTTTGCGCTCGCGCTCCTCGAAGGCTGCCGCCACACGTACTCGTCCACCCCGACCAAAATCGGACCCGAAACCTGGTCCTGGATCCCCAAATTCGGCTACGTCGCTCCGCTGCACATGCCCGAGACCAAGCGCCAGCAGCAAGAAGCCTTTGCCACGGGCATCTGGTCGCACAACCCGGCCTACAAGGGGCGCCCCGAGTACGTCGAAAGCCTCTTCTACGCCTGGCGCATCACGGGCGAATCTCGCTACCGCGAATGGGCCTGGGACGCCTTTTCCGCGCTCGAAACGCACTGCAAGGCGCCGTTTGGATATGCCCAGCTCAAAGATGTGTATGACACGCATACCCAGGGCGAAGCCAAATGGGTCGATATGCAAGAAAGCTTTTGGGCCGCTGAAACCCTCAAGTATCTCTGGCTTACGTTTGCGGATGTCGAGGTTGCCAGTCTGGATAGCTGGGTGTTTAGTACAGAGGGACATCCATTTCGCATGATTCGTTGAGCTGTGTGTTTGCCGAGTGCGTGAGGCTATCTTATCTTGTCTTGTTTTCCAGCTGTGTCAAAGAAGCTGTGAGAAGTGTTGGGGGAAAACAAACCAAAAAAAATATTAAGTGCGCCGTGAGATTGATTGAGTGGCTTGATTGAGTCCATGCCCATTTTCAAGTCCACAATCACTACAATCATGCACAAAAGAAAAAAAAGTATCTTTTTTAAAAACAAAAAAAAGATGGAGAAAATGGAAGAGATGCCCTGTACGCTTCCCCCTTTTTTTTGCCTGTTATGCCGAGCTACGTAATGATACCCGGAAATTTTGCATGTCTGTCTGTATGCGTATCTGTCTGTCTGTCTGTCTATCTGTGTTATTGCTCGACTTGTAGTATAGTATCGCATCATCGTATGGGATTTGTATGGGCAAGTAGTAATATCTTCCCCCCCCCCATGAAAAAACCCCCTCATGAGAATGTCGGGAAGAGAAAAAAAAAGGGGAGGTGGAGAGGGGGGAAAAACGTCTTAGCAGGATAAGCACTAAGTCAAGATTTAAAACTACGTAAGCAAAGTTCAGCTACAGATTATAAATTTGGGTTTTTTGTTTGTGCAAGATGATGATGATAGCATATATAACTAACTATGCAAGATACAAAGATGATGCAAAGATGCAAAGATGCAAGTGGAGAAGATGGAAGCTTTGTACTTGCATTATTATATTAGTTTTTGTAGCTAGCCCAGGCCTTTATCTTTTTGTTTATATAGTATGCAAGTATACAAGAATTAACAATAATAGGGTGCTGCTATTGTTGTTGTTGTTGTTGTTTTTAGTATATGCTACGTACACAAGTGACCAAACCAACCAACTAACCAACTAACCAACTAACTAACATTTGGGGGAAAAAAAGGGGAGGGGGGGGGAGGGCGGGGTTCAAGTAAAACGGCGTGGAAAGTCAAGTTTTGTAAAAGTCTAGTTTATGTTTGAAAAGAGAAAAAAGCGACATACTTGGAGTTTTTGAGAACAAGAACAACAATATCTATCACCACCACCAACACCACAGCCACACCAATAACAACAACAACAACAAAAAGTTGCTTTTCTCTCAACACACACAGATTTGAAACGGACTCATTCAATAAGAATATATTTTTGATGCGGTTCAAGCAAGACTAGAAAAGGGAAGTTTAGAAAAAAGAAAAGAAAACTCAAATACTTTAAAAAAAAGACCTAAAATACTGGGTATATCAATGAGAGGAAGGAGAGTATGTAGTAGTAGTAGTAGTGGTGGTGGTGGTAGTGGTACTAGTCCAAAAAAAAAGTTGCCAAAAAGTTAGTAAATCGGGAGAGAGAGGCAAGGGCATCGTACATGAGGGGGGGGGGAGTCAAACAGAGACATAACACACAGACAGACACACACACACACTCACTCACACAAGGGAAAACGAGGAAGTATTCCACCAACCTTGCCAGGCAGAAGCAATCCAAATATGAAACCAAAAAAAATAACCCCAGTCTGCCCCCCATATTTTTTGTCGTAAAAGAAACCTCGAAAACATGCAGGCTAAAGAGATGAAAATAATCAAGGATATAGTTGCTGGTGATGGGAGAGCAAAACAAGAGGAAGGCTGCGAGGGGGTGAGGGGAGGGGGAGGGGAGGGGAAACGAGAAAACAATGCTGATGCAGGCAAAGCAATGATGGTGGGTAAGTAATGTACCCTTTTTTTTAATGCAGACTACGGCTGCTTGTATGGAAGCAAGTTTTTGCACTTTTTTTTTCCACGTTATCCTCAGGCTGCGACAGTAGAATGCGCAAACACGCTGGTCAAGTGTTGGGCAGAAAATCTGTCGTTGACATGTACAGTCCAATCGATATGGCCAGACAGATTAGACAGTACCCAACAGGAATTTCCAGTGAAAGTCGTTGCTGGTGACGTCCAAGGCTGGATTCACGTCGCGAAGACTGGGCAACTTTTCACCCCCATTTGTGACACCACCATTAATCTTTGGCAAGGCCAGGTTGTGCAGCAGTGATACTGTGCGTCCTGATCCTGTCGAGAGCTCAAATGTGGTGCCGTTTGGACTCGCCCGACCATGTGCGTCATGCAGGGTCAGCCTCATGGTCGAGGTGATGCGGCGGAATCGCTCAAAAGCATCTTCTCGGGTGGGTTGAGCATCGCGTGGCCGTGGCATTTGCGAGGATAGCTGGTCGCGATAGTGGTCAAATGTTCTGGAGATTTGCAGCTCGGTAGGGTCCCAGCCAGGAATGGGTGGTGCATGGAGCGCTAGCTTGCTCAAACCAGTAATGGTGTTGATGAGGTTCAGCCAGTCAATCAGCGAGATGGCTTCAAACTGGTTAGAGGGTAGTTTTGTGCTGTTGTCGAGTAGCTGTTCTATCGAGCGCAGATAGGCAATGCGCAGTGACAGTTGGAAGCCCGAGGCCCAGGGGGTGCTGTCTCGATCTACGAGCTCGACGGAAGCGGCGGTTCGATATAGGTGGATGCGGGCCGCGAGCTGTAGCCATTGTAGTGTGGCTGGGATGTTGTTAGTATTGCGTCAATCACAGTGCATAGGCGAGGGCTTACCAAAATCGTTGGCCTGTGGCTTGGAAGCGAGGCGGATGTTGTCCCACTTTTCACTTAGACGATTGACTTGGGTTCGGACAACGATAGCTTGCTCCGACTGACTCCGAAACGTCTCTTCCACGTCTTCCATGTACTGGCACATGTCCATAAAAATGGGGAGAAGCGTGTCAGTCTTATTTTCCCAGGCCGAGGCTAGTTCTGAGGCGTAGTTTCGCAATATGCCCGTGTGCGACATGGAGCGCGCCTTGAGAGGCTGCATCAAGGCTATGTTGGAAGAGAGGTAGTAACAGCCCAAGTAGGCACGTTTTGCTTCCCTGTCTCGCGGATCGTCCTTGTGCAGCGGGCTTCTTGAGGGCCTTGATATGCTGTCGAGACTCAGGTCATTTGCTATGCCCAACGACAACTGGAGCAGTAACGTCACTGACACGGCCTGGGCGTCCATGTAGTGGTGGTGCCAGGCGATGAAGACCAAGAGGCCCTGGAGCAGGTCCAGGTTCTTTTCGCCCTTCATGATCTTGACCATGACTACCTTGCGGAACTCGTTGCTGAGCGCATGCTGCAGCTGTGCCGAGTCGTACGACGAGACGGTTAGTATGGCAAACATGAGTATGGGGCGGTTCTGGAAGAGGTCCTGGGAGCGGCAGTCGCGGGGCAGGATGACAAAGGGAAAAAAGTCCACCATGCCGCGGTACGTGTCGAGCAGCAGCTGCATGTGGACGAGGCTGATGGAGCGCACGAGGGGATCGAGGCGTCCGAGACAGGAGAGGGTGTCGTTGAAGGACTCCCAGAAGGGCAGCGAGCTCTCGGCCTGGGATCCGGCGGCGGGCAACAGGGTCGTCGTCGTCGTCGTCGTCGTCGTCGTCGTCGTTGTGGGCGCGACGGGCAGCGAGACGGTTTGGGCGGGCGTTTGTTTTGCCGTGGGAAGCGGCTGTTGCTGTTGCTGCTGCTGCTGCTGCTGGGCCGTCTCAAGAGGGGCAATCTGCGAGGGAATGGTGGCTACCGAGGGGAGGCTGGCCTGGGCGGGCGAGGGCGCCATGGTCGCAACAATGGCCGACAGCTTGTCGAGCTTCTTGTCAAAGTCGCGCAGCTTGCTGGGCGTCTGGCCATCGCTGCGCGCCTTTGCGGGTCGGCGGCGGGCTACATGCTCGACACACTCGACTCTAGCCTTCTGGCACCTGGGGCACGTGTGTCAATCCCATGTGGAGTAGCACGCAGCACGGCACGGGTCGAGTCTACACTTACCTCTGGCAGATGGTGGGCGTGTCGGACGGCACGCATCGGACCTTGTGCTTGCGACATCTTTCACAGGCAAAGGCGTTTCCTATGCGTCCTTCGCGGGGGTCCATGGTGGTGGCAAGGCTGGCAGTCTTTGGAGAGGGAGAGCCATCGGTCTCCGGTTGCGCGGTCGCAGTCGCGCTCATGTGGGGAAGTCCGATCATGTGCCAAGTCCGGGGAGGAGCAGCAGCAGCGAGGGCGACGAGAGGGCGGGCGATTGCGGGTACTGGGTGGTGCGCTCGCTCAACACTACGCTGACAGGCGGGATGGCGACGCGGTAGGCCATTGCAGCAGGGCAGTCGGGCGTGTCGAGGGTGCAGCCGCGGGTTTTGGCCATGTGGCGGTGCGAAATCAACAAGAATACCTCGGGTAGTATGGGCGTCGGAGCATCAATGGCCCGCGCTACGGGCGGCTGCTTGCTGCCGGCAGCGCTGCCGCCGCCTAAAAGGCCGCCGGACTGGTCCGAAATGCCGCTCCGATGGGCCGGCGGCGGCGGCATTGCGTGGGCGTGGGCGGTGGGCGTGGGCGTGGGCGGTGGGCGTGGGCGTGGGTGAGTGCCAGTGTATATATGCGGAATGTCTGGCGGCGAGGAGCGGTGCGGTTGCGGTGCTGTGCGGAGCCTGTGCCTGAGCCTGCGCTTGTGCTGTGCGTGGGCTGGCAGCGCGGCACGACCCGCCGACGCCGACAGCGACGACGAGACGGCGCGACGCGAGGCGAGGCAAGGCGACGCGAGGCGGGACAGGACAGGACGGCGCTGCGCTGCTGAGGGCGGCGGCGGTGATGCTGCTGATGCTGATGCTGAGGATGCTGCTGCGGATGCTGCTGCTGCGGCGGCGGCGGATGCTGACGATGGCGATGGCGATGGCGATGGCGATGGCGCTAAAGGTGCTGGCACCGGCGCGGCCCCGAGAGGTTGTTTCTGGTGCTGCTGCCTCGACCCTAACCCCAACCCAACCCAGGCAGCCCAGGCAGCCCATCATCCCAGCCCATCCCAGCCCATCCCAGCCCATCACCCAGCCCATCACCAGCCCATCCCATCCCATCCCATCCCAAGGCACCCTCATCCCATCCCATCCCAACCCAACCCCCCCATGGCTCACCACCCCCCCAGCGGCCCTGCGCGCGGCCTCGCAGCCACCATGGGCTGGGGCGCCAGGCCGGCGCTGCTGGTCGTCGACGTGTGCAAGGCGTACTGGAGCGACGGCAGCCCGCTCGACACCAGCAGCAACGCGGCGGCGGCGGCAGTGCCCGCAGCCATTGCAAGACTCGTCGCAGCGGCGCGGCGGGGGGCAGCGCCGTTGATCTGGACCCGCGTCGAGTACTCGGAGCCCGACATGGCAGACGCGGGGCTGTTCGCGTGCAAGGCGCCGCTGCTCGACGTCTTCCACCGCGACGACGCCCGGGGCCTGGGCGCGTGGATGCCCGGCCTCGCGCCCGCGCCCGCCGACGTGGTCGTGTGCAAGCGCTATCCGTCCGCCTTCTTCGCTACCGACCTCGCCACGCGCCTCCGCCTGGCCAGCGTCGACACGCTCGTCATCTGCGGCGTCAGTACCAGCGGCTGCGTGCGCGCAACCGCCCTGGACGCCATGTGCCTCGGCTTCCGCCCAATGGTGCGCCGCCCGTTGCATGCACACGACTCGCGCCATCGCTAACCATGGCCATGGCCTCTACTCTAGGTTGTGGGCACCGCCTGTGGTGACGCCTCGCCCGCCGTCCACGACGCCAATCTGTTTGACATGAACGCGAAGATGGCTGACGTCATCGGCGAGCCCGACGCCGTCGACAGGCTGAGCGCCGGGTGGCCGTGAAGCCGCGCGCCCCGCCGTTTGCACCTCCATGTACTGACTTACTATGCTGCCATGTACGCACCATCCGCGCACCCATGCCACGCCCGCTCTGTTGCGGCTCACCCGTCGCAGGGCCAAGCTGGCATCTCGCTCCTCGACACCAACACCAAATAGCCCCCCCCATGGCACACGCACAGGCAGAGGCAGCAGACGACGACGACAACAACAACAACAACAACAACAACAACACCACCACCAACAACAACCACATCGACAGCATCAACGCAAACAGTGGCAGGCGGGCCAGGTGTATCTAGTGCGCTGCAATCAAAGGAAAGAACAAGTGAGACATGACACACGCGCGCCCTCGTGCTCACCGCATTCTTGACACCGGCACCTACGTGCACCGCGCAGCAGCCCACCACGCTGCCCGCCACGCCACACATACTCACCACCACGCCCAATGCCGACAGAGCCCGCTGTCCTCTGCCACACACCGCCACAATCACAATGCTTGCCCACTCCAGGAACCCCCCTCACTCGATGCTCACGTCCCTCGGCGGCGCTGCTCACCCCTCTCATAGCCCCCCGAACAAGTCTCGTTGCGCCCACTCTGCAAGCCGTCTTCGGCACCAGCAAGCGCCCCCCGCCATCTCCCATGTCACGATACATTCCCTACCCCGGTGCTGAACCAATACCCGACTGCGTATGGGAGTGCTGCGGATGTCGAAGGAGATGGCTGACAAAGGAAATGGGAAACATATGCATCGGCTGCAGCCACACCTACTCTGTCGACTGTTGCCGTCTCGTTGGCTAGCCCTGCCCCTGCCCTGCCAGGCAGAGCGTGTCCAAGACGGTCATCAGAGAGGTACCCAAGCAGACGGAATCCTGCACACATCTCCCACTCACTAATCCGACTGCAGTCCAGCCATCGAGTTGCAGGCCCATGCTGAACATCCGCACAGGGCCCCTATTTAGTGTCCAATACATCTTGGTTTGCACTTTGCACCCTCACCAGAAACCTGACCTTCACACCTCGGTTCGCGTTTCCTTTGATATTACTAGCAACCAACTGACTAAACCCACGTATAGAATACTCCATGTAGCCTGATTTGATTTGCATGCTCGTGCAAAGTCCACTCTGATCTTCATCACTTCCTTCGCCTTGCCTCTTCACCACCCCAGCCATCCCTAGCTGCACATGTCCATGCAATGCTCACAGCCGCGTACCCAGCATCCACGGCATCTGCAGCCCGCCTTGACTACTCTGTCGCCATGTCTTTGCTGGCCTCCACATTGCGTAGATTGGCTCAGGAGTCAGCTCATGTGCACTCTTTCTCCACTCGTCGCTTGCATTCGCCTTGTCCGTGTCAAAGGCAATCTTCAACAGCGACTGGAAGCCAAACTTCTCATACAGCGGTTTCCCCATGGCCGACGCCTCCAGCCAGCATTCCAGATCGAGCTCGTCGGCACGCATAACACCCACGTCCATCAGCAGACATCCGATACCCCGGAGCCGATGAGCAGGATCCACAGCCATCCAGTTGAGTGCTGGCTTCCATGTCAGCGACTGGCCAAGGATATTGCCCCAACAGTTTCGGCATGGCTCATCGGAAATGGCGCGCATCAACAAAGAAAACGGATGCTCCACTCACAACAATGGGGCCGCGCCATCCAATTCGCACGAGGCTTGTACACCTGATTCAGTATCGACTCGCAAAAGCTCCGATATTCGCCTTCGGGCCACCACGGCGCTGTCAGCTCCGGCACGCCTGCTGCAAAAGGATTTGTCGTCGAAACCACCCACTGTGCGCAACCAACGGCTCTGCTGGTAACCGTGTCGAATGCATAGAACCAATGGATCGTCTCGTCCGCCTGGTGCTGTTGCCAGAAGCGTTGTTTCGATTCGCTCATGGCGGCCTCGCGATGGGCAGCCGTGTAGCCCAGAACAGGGAACAAGAGCTGCATAAAAGGTTCGTACGGCGTATAGTTGGCAGCCCAGATGACGTCCAGAATGCTGTCGAGCTCTTGCTTGGTCTTGGCTTCGCGGACAAAGTATCTCTGCCCCATGGTTGCAGGTTGGTGATGCAGATCGCGTCGTGGCGATATCGGGCTGGTAAAGTAGTCGTCGTCGTCGACGCTACCTCGCCGCCACTGCGCATGGCCAGCGGCACCGGAGATATAACATGCCCCATGTATTGGACATTGTAGATTGCCGTCTTAGGGTGAAGATTCCCAACAAGGAAGGTACCGTTGACACATTTAGCGTCTTGGCTAGCCGAGCAAGTCACACCTTTATCCCAGCACACATTCCCTGATAGCCCCTCGGAATCCACCCATCCGGGAATACTTGTATCCCTATCGGCATTCGGGTGCCAGTACTTGGTCATGGCACGATATGGCACATTGGTGTCGACGGCCAGTCCGCCTTGAGCATGGTGAGAAAGCATCCGATATGCAATATCCAGTACCTACTATACTTGCTTTTGGCTGGCATGTGCGTAATGCGCAGCCGCGCGTTGTCCATGACTAGTAGGACGTTGGCTGAAAGCGACAGCAGCAAAAGCGACAAGTAGGCAACGAAGCTGCGCGTATTGGTCGGGATGATCTCGGTGGCGTTGGCGTCCCATGATGTGCCATCCTTTTCTTCTGGTCTAGCCAGAAGCTGGTCTTCTTCTTCGCTGCGGCACACTGGCTGGTATGCTGGAGATGTTTCCATCTTGGGGGTGGTTCGTAGAAAGGGACGCCGGGGCGCGAAATGTATGCAGCTTCACAAGACAAACATGGTGCAGCCTGCGCGGTAGCTATCCAGATTTCGAGTTGTACAGGCATGCGTCACAGCCACTGCCTGGCGAGAATAGGCGTTTCCGAGCTTCGGGTCTTTGGGGGGGGGGGGATGAATGGCGACGCCATCTGTCTAGTGGGCCGTTACATCGCCGAGCAGACAGTCGTCCGGCGCTGTACCATCGAGGAAGGTCGCAAGCATCTCGAGGCGAAAGCGACAGCGACATGGAGGCTGCCTGGGACACCATCGACACTAATGCCATGGCCATTGCACTCGACGACAAGCTCGCAGACCATCTTGGTCTGCCCCCCTCGACTCGATTTCCATGGGATACAGAGCGCAGCGTATACTATGTAAAGGGCATACATGACTTGCACTGTCTGGTGGGTCCACCACCCTATTTCCATGCCTATGATTAACTCGACCAGAAACTCATCCGCAAGGCGATTGTATCAAAACACAAGGGCAGCGACCAGCCGTTTAATCTTCGACACATGTACCACTGCCTGGATGGTATACGCCAGGACATTATGTGTGCAGCCGATGACACGCCCATGCCAGCGCCTTTCTCTCACCAAGCTGGCGATGGCTTGGTTCGAAAATGCCGCGACTGGGACAAGTTGATCGCCTGGGCGAGGCGCCCTGATCAGCATGCCTGTTACGAATTCGACGACTACCGCGAAGCTACCAACACCCTGGAGAACTTTGCCTTTTGTCCACCTGCATCCCCTTATCGAGACTTTCAACGCGCCTACTTTGAGCTTCATGGACACAAGGACCCATACGAGGAGAACGAGAATGCAGAAGAAGTGGTTGTATTCTAAGACTGTGGCTTAGCATGCAGAAGAACGAAAACAGTGTCGGACTTTTTACATTTGCGTGAATCGCACTCAGCTCTTTTTCTTCTGACAAGACTTGCGAGAACATCAGCCACTCAATTCTTTACCACTTCCGAAAACCATGCGAGACGATATTAATGTAGGCTACACTACATGAGTGGCATCATTCACGAGTATTCTCGGGTCAGGGGTCGGAAAGATCGTAGCCCAGCCGGCGCTGACCACGAAAAAGACGAGGCAGACACCTTTATCCGTTCCTACACCAGTACTACTATCCGTGCTATACAAGTAGACAGCTACCCGAGTCCGCCTCATTATTACGTTTATATCCGGAGCATATGGGGGCGAGTGCAGTGCAACTACAGTTCGGAGCCGCGTGAGGGCCATGCACGACTGAAACGTTGAGAAAACTGCAATCACATACGAAAAGTAATGTTCCCGAACATGCTAAGCTGAGGTACGTATCTATCAGCACATAAATTCTATACAAGAACACCAGCGTGTACCTTTCATCAATATCAGTTTCTTCTACAGTTTCACTGTATGATGAAAGAGCCTCCCACGACTTCGACCAAGCTGACATTTACTAGGACGCAGCAATTCATATAGCCCACCATGCACCCCACGGTCGCTTTAATACCCTTCTTTGCATTCATAACAACAATCTCTGCAGTTCCCATATCTCTACATACCGTAGCACGATCCGTACCCGATATCAATCAAGTTGCCCGGAATCCAGCACCGATTGATGGCAGAGTCAACTGGGAAGACGGCAAGCCCTCTCTCGGCGATACTAGCAATATCTCCAAGGAGGATCTCAAGAAGCTCAAGGACCTTATACATCACTTGCTTGGAGAACGAGCCGCCCCAGATGTCGCGGGCATCGTGGTAGACAGAAGTATCGGTGATGTGCAACGACCTGCGCGAGACCCTGTTTATTTTCACGTCTGAAATTTGATATAGTGTCGGTTTAGACGGTCTCAAGTACGCAACGTTCTTTTCACAATGATATCAGATTGCTAATCGAGATTAGTCGCTTCAATTGCTACCATCAGTAGCCTGTACCTATCACACTGTATGCTTTCAGCCAGCCAGATTCAATAAAAAGAACATTCATATGGAGCCCTTTGCCTCATTTCATTCCGTCGTTCATCTCTTCACTCTCAAGCAGGCCATATTCATTAACAATTCCCTGCCATTCTCTACGCAACAGCCCGTGTACAGCCATCCGTAGCGCCGCTACTGCAGCGGTATCCGATCACAACCTGCATTCAATGGAACACCACGTAAGTTGTGTTCTGGCAAATGTGTCACAGCACACAATCGCCTTTCGACTCAGTGGCAGCTGCCGTGACACAGTGCCGAGCTTGATGTGCTACAGGGTTACACGGAGATGAACACTGAACAGGCCTTGACGCAGTTTAGCAAGCCTATCAGATGTGCCGAGTCCGATGGCACGATAAGGCTTGTTGTACTAGTGTCCGGGCCATAGTTCACGTTACCAACCCACCCTAGCTCATCCGTTCACCGGACCGCGTAACACCAACCCGCATACAGACGAGCGTCTCGACCAGAGATGCACACAAAGTCCATCCTTGTATACCATTTCTTTACCTTGTACACTTGCGCAACGCCGTACAACGCCATCTTACCTTCAGGGTGCGCCCATGCCCTGCCCATTTTCCAGTCGTCAATCTATCTTGTTCTGCCGTTGCAACTTTCTCGTATAGTGGACAAGATGCGGATAATGACATTGTGCGATATGCTGCCAGTTGGCTTACCAGTCGCCGTCTGTTACCTGCCTGGCGGCGCGCAGCCTTTGTTTGCACGCCTGCGCCGCTCTTGAGGAACGGGTAGTAGCGTTAAGATGTCCAATGACCACACATGCTTGCCGTTTGCTTGTGTTGATCGCTTCTGATTGAAGCCCGCTTTTGTCTCTGCTGAAACCGCAGGTGCTGTCTATTGTCCGAGATTACGAGCATCTGCTGTCTCATTTTTGCGAGTACGCACCATGCCATGATGCCAGCACTTTGTCTTGTTTCTTCCCGCCACTCGATTCCGCGGCGGCCGGGAAGCGACGCGGATGTCGGACCGTTCATCAATGTTGTTACCTGGATCTTGCTGATTACTTCCGCGCTGGCGGTTCTGACTAGACTGATTACGAAACGCGTTCTGCGGAGGAGAATCGATATTGACGACGCTTTTGTCGTCCTGGCTCTAGTACGTCTGACTAATGCATAGGATACTTTGTCCAAGTGTGCTAATTGGTTATGAGCAGACGGCCAGCATAGCGTCAGGGGCGGCTGTTAGTATCCAGACGGAAAATGGTCTTGGGAGAGACATCTCGTTGCTGACCACAGGTCAGATTGTGGCATATCGGAAAGTAAGAGGCTGGATACTTTCCTCAATCGCATGCTGATCGAATAGTAGGCTGAATATGCAAATAACATGCTGTATATCGCGACACTGGGATTCGCCAAATTATCCATCATCTCACTCCTCATGATGCTGACTGCCTCAAAACTGCACCGCAATCTCGGTCTAGCACTGGCCTGCTTCATTGCACTCTGGGCCGTGTTTTCAATCTGCGTTTCAGCATTCCAATGCGGAACCATTGAGCCATGGCGTTTTCTGGGAAACAATCGGATATGCTTTGACATTGCATGCCTCGCCGTCGACTTTACCATCACAATGCTAACAGTCTCCAGGTCTCTTTCTGGCGTGCCATGGGTGTCGTCAATATTCTCACCGACCTAGCGCTCATTGGATTCCCCATGCACGTCGTCATTACGCTGCAAATGAGTACTACGAAGAAAATCACCATCCTCACTTTTTTCGGCGCGCGCTCACTGTACGCCCCCCCCCCTCTTCCCCCTCCTCATAACAACAGCACCATCTCACCCCCGCCAGAGACATCGTAGCCACATCGGTCCAAATGCTCTACCTCTCGGGCTTCTCCTCCGCAAACCCCACATGGCACCTCTGGAAATGGACGCTCCTGGCCCAAATCATCCAGTGCATCACCATCATCACCTCGTGCGTACCGTACATCCGGCCGCTGCTCGAATCCGTGCCCTCAGGCCTCTACGCAAGCGACGATCTGCGTCGCAGAGGCACCTCCTCAGACCACTGCGGCGCTGTGTCCCGCGCCAAAAACAACAATAACAACAATAGTGCGAGTAGTTCCTACCAACTCTCCAGCATCGCATCTAGGTTCCACACCGGGCTACCCCGGAAACCCCCAATCCCAATTCACGCCCCCGCCACGCGAACCCGCAGCTTCTGGCCGTCGTCCCTCCTGCTCGCTGCGCAACCGCAACCGCAACCGCAAACTACACATGCAACGTCCGCCACGGGTGTCCCTGGCGGTCCGCGCCGTCTGGATGGCGAGACCGACGTGGAGATCACGGCTGTGCTGCATACACAGCGTGAGGAGAAGAGGTGGGATGCCGCGAGTACGGCGAGCCATTCTAAGATCCTTAGGACGACGGTTGTAAGTGCGGAGTGGGAGGAGGCAGAAGCGCAGGAAGATAGGGTGAAGGTGAAGGTGAGCGGGGTGGGAAGGGGGGGTGAGGCCGATGAGATTGAGGTTGTGAGATGAAAGTATTTGTTATCATCGTGGGTTTTTTTGGTGTGTTTTGTAGGTTTTTGTGCTGGTGCTGGTGCTGGTGCTGGTGCTGGTGCTTGGCTGAGATGAGATGATCGAGTCTTTGATACCATATAATAGTATTATATTAGACCTTTAAAAATTTTTTTCTTTCTTCCCTTTCCTTCTTTCTTCTTGCGGTTATACGGATTTGTCTGTGTATATATATCCCTGCCTCTTCCCTCCCTCTTCCCTCCCCCCGTTCTCTTTCTCGTTCTCATTTTCTCCATCTCCATCTCCATCTCCATCTCACTCCTACAAAACTCACACACGCTTGGCATACTCCCCCTCATCCCTTCCCAAACCGCCCCAGTGTGTCCCCCCCCCCCTTTTTTTTTACCAGAACCAAACCAAAACCACGCTATGTTAAGTATGCATTCTCCTCCTTCTGCTCCTCCTGCTCCTCCTCTTCTTCTCACCGCGGAACTCGAAAATATATATATACCGCTTTTACTTACTTGCCTACAGGCCGTTTTCCCCCCCCCCCAGCTGTGAGAAGAAGGCGTGGATACCCGGGATCGCAAGCGTGTATGTAAGTACCCCGGAACAAACTAATGCATGGATGGATGGATGGATGGATATATCTGGTATTTTCGGGTTTGACT